TTATGTGGATGAAAGACAACAACTCCCAGAATGCACTTGCTTCGCTGCCCTAGGAGGCCACGCCTACCAATAAGGGCCGTTACATAGTCAACGCGAGCTACGCGAGAAAGCAACGCGAGTGACGCGAGCGACGCGCTTCCTTTCATAGTGTTAAAACAGACGCAAGCGTCACGGGCGATGCGTAAAATGCAATACACCGGTCACGCAACAGGGGGTAGTAGATTTTTCACTGCAAACCTGAAAAAGCGATGAAGCTCGTGAAGGCGTGCGTGGCTCTCCACAACTTTCTGGCATCCACTGAACGTGCCAGATACATGCCCGCCACCTTTGTGGATGCGACGCCTGACACCGGAGAGGTCCAGCCTGGAGAGTGGAGTGGAGGCAGCACGTTGTTGGGGACCAGAACATGGTCGACGGACCACGGTTTTCGGTCGGCAGCAGCAGACCCTAGGGAGCAGCTGGCTGATTACTTTTTATCAGATGCTGGCGTGTTTCCCCACCAATACAGTGTGCTACGATTGGGTAGCACTGACAAATAAATTGATAAAAGTTCGATTTGAAGCATGAGTTTTTTATTATTATTTAACACTTTACACATTTTAACTTATTTGGTATTGTGTGAAAACCATTACACATTTTTTATTATTTGGTATTATTTAAATTATGTAAAAACCATTACACATTTTAACTAATTTGGTATTTTAATTCATTAAAGGTGCCAAATGGGATTTTAAATCAAATCATACAACATGTTCCATACCAGATGGGGGCAGTATACCTCCAGAAATACCTCCACGGCCACGCGCTCTCTCATGTCTTCAAACAATATGGGCAAGTGCTGTGTTGCTCTGTCTCCCTCGTGCATATTAATCAAATCAATTGACGCGATAGTAAAAGGTTGGAAGACCGCAGTTTCACGTGGAGCATTTGGAGATTTTCAGAGATTAGAGACTTAATGAACAACATCTCAATACTAAATTATAAGGGCCGTCTCATAGACAAGTCGGTGCATTTCGACGATATGGGAAAATTAAAGCCCAGGCTATTATTTCTAGTTTTATGATATTCGATTTGTTCATATTACATTTTTATCATTAGTTTGAATTAATTTGACAGACAGCATTCCCTGATGTGGACCAAGCTAGCGTCTTTCAGAGCTGCCAACTCTCACAACACTTTTCACACACTTTCACGCCACACATCAATTTTGTCATGCACAGAAAAGGACACGGAGACCGATGTCAGCTCTCAGATTCTGTTCATTTTATTACGCAATTCAAACAATAAATACAGTATTGGCACTTTACACGACAGATCCCTAGCGCACGTGAACCGATCATCTCTACTAGCTAATGGTAAAAGAACACGAACACTGTTGAAAGATACAGTATGCTACAACTTACCAAAATGTATTCCTCATGCATAATATCGACCAATCATTTTTTTTTAACTCTTCCCTGAACTGAAATGTAGTAGTGGGCTGTATTTTCCACACGACTGACGTCAGGTTCAAGTACACACAAGCTGGCGCGAGCGCGACTTACTCGTGTACTGCAGTTTGGCTGGTGGTAACGTTGCCCGCCCGCATACCGCCTCCCATGGTCGAAACTGGTATTACGACACCTAACGGGCCGGGGCTAGTAATTTAGCATGCTAATTCAGGTTAATATCTCGGCAGCACTATAACTTGTCAGTTTTTTAATGACATCATCAACCTTATTTCTTCTCAATCTTTTGATGCGTGTTGCTCATTTTTGGGATATTTTAACCTCAATTTTTACAGATGGCACCTTTAATTCATATCCATAAATCATTAATTCATATAACCAGGCTGGTAAATTTGTCACGGGCACTTTTCCCGTCCGTTTTCACCTGATTCTGTCTTTCCCATCGCGATTGCAACCTCTCTCCAGGCATTTTCCAACACAATTTTATTTGAGTGTACTAATTGTGGTGAACTGTCGTATAAATGCGGATGATATTAAATGCTGGTAAGCTTGTATAATTATTCCTCCTCGCACGCCATTGTATTCAAACCTTTTCTTCTGTTAACATGATATATTTGAATTAATGTACAATTCTTGCAATGTCGCCCCCACCGATAACGCATAGTATTGCGTGCATCAGTGCGTCGCGTATCAAAAACTAGGACGACACATTTGGCTACGCATCGACGCATAATGGCGGCCAAAGCGTAGCGATGCATAGCCATGCGGACGCGTATGCGTACCGATGCGTTGACTATGTAACGGCCCTAACAGAGCGCAGTCGTTAAACAACAAGTCTAGGCTACTAGTGAGTCTCCGTGATGAGTCTGCCCAAAAATGTGTTTCCAGATCGCCCAAAATGTCCGGGATTCGTTTTTTCCGTTCTACAGTCGCCGTTCATCATGTTTACTGTGGCGAGCGGGACGAGTGAGGGCCGCGGGAGAACGGCGCGAGGCCGGTGGCGTGATTACCGATGAGCGACACCTGTGAGACGCACCGGTCTCGTATCTCTCGCGAATTTTCTTAGCAATGTTAAAACGCACATTAACCGATCACTTGTTTAGCGTTCATGTAAACACTACATTCAGATTCACCAATCGGAACGAATTCAGTTCGATTGAAACAAAAGCTGTGCATGTAAACAGTGAATGGCGACTGCAGAAAGCAAAAGCTGAATCCCGGACATCGACGGCCAGACATGTCCGGGAAAAAGAGGACGGTAACCCCTACTACTCAGCTTTCTCCACAGAACAAGAGCCTGCTAGCTTAGCTTCCAAACAAAGATGGCCGACACTATGTGTTCATTCTGTGAGTGAGATCGCCCTCTATGGGCGGGTTGAGGACATGCGGGACAGACCCGACTACTGACTGTAGTCTTTAGCCTCTGGACAAAAAAATCCTCCGATGATGCAAAATGACGATTTTTGCTTGATCGGAGGCAAAAAATACATAAATCTCTCGTCTCAGGGGGATATGAGGGTGGAAAGCACAGTAATTCGAAAATACTACAAGTTTCCTACTAATACAAAGCTTAATGCTAAATCCTGAAGTATCCCTTTAAATAAATGCAACCTTAGTGAGCATAAGAAACTTTAAATTATAATGTTTCCAAACATTTTGACAGGTAGTATTCCTCATTTTCTCTGGGTCGCAGTGTGTTGACTGTGTTGATCGTACAATAACAGTAGCAGTGTGAATGGTCTTTGTGTGGTGGAATTGGCAGAATAAGCATTGGTTTCCTCTGTTGTTTGCTGGTTTCATGCGTTTTTTTTGTATCTGTTGTAATGCCGTGCAGCAGTAGTAATTATCATCTTTGTTAGTAACAGTGGGTGGTTCATGTTTTTGTTGTAGTTAAAGTGTTAGTAATGTCCTGAAGTCATTGTGTGTGTGTTCTCTTGAGCTGACAAGTGAAGACGGCTCATTGGCTGCTGGCCAGACTCTCACCCTGATGCTGAAGACACCTTGTTGTGCACCAGCTTGAAACGAGTGATGGCATGGAGTGCAGATAAATAATGTCTTAATGCACAATGGTGTCCAATATACTGTGGTGGAGATCATGATACAAATAGACAGTGCTTTTAACTTCTCACAATTAATATACCGGTAGTTCCACTCACACTGGCAGATCAGATCATGATCAGGTGATTATATAAGAGAAGCATGAACAACATATAGTGGAGTGTTATTTTAGTTTTTGTGTGTGTTTGTCTATATACACTCTATTTCTTTTTGGCTTTATTTAATTTTTGTTGTTCATACTTATTTCATTTCATTATTTTTTGAAGCTGTACATTTCTGTAAGTTTTTAATCTAATATATTTTTATTTCAATAAAAACAATTTTTAATAGTTTGTTTTAATGAATGAAAACAGTTCTACCACACTGAACAAACACCGTTTTACATGGCATAAATGTGAAACTGTTTACATTATGCATATTTGTGACAAATGTATCCAGTTTTAACTGGTTTTACACAGATTCAACACCCAACATTGGGTTATGTCGACCCAGCGTTTGATGAGTAGGTGTGTGAGGGGTTTCATCATTTGATTGTAAAAATTACCCAGCAGCTAAGTTACAGAAAAACTACCCAGCACCTGGGTAAAAATATTAAATATAACCTAGAGCCCGAACGATAAAGGATTTTGAAGGCCGATACCGATACAAATATTTTTGGGTTTTAAAATCCGATATTCCGATATATCGGCCGATATTTTTTTTTATTAAATATTGTTGGATTTCACACATGTGTAAAAGAAAAGCGAACTTTTCTGCACAAGATACGTTTGATACTTTTTCTCTATGTCTAAATGTTCACTCCTCGCAAGTATAACTTACATTTTACAATGCAGGGACTGTAACTAGAGATATGCTAGTTATAAAAGACGGTAATAATTACTTTATTTAGGCAGAAAAAGTTGTGGTTTCCAAGCTCATTAATGTTAACGTTAGCGGTCTTCCACTGATGATAGTGGCATTAGCTAGCTTTGTGGTTAGCTAATCTATGATGAGCCATAATTTAGCAATAGATAACATCATACTGCAAATTGTAAAACATACATTTTCAATATAACAGGCCAAGGAGAGATGATTAAAACGTGTTTCATCCGTTTTTATTTTATTTTTTAAATATTCATTTATCGGCCATTATAACTGCCAATACCGATATTATGGAAAATGCCTAATATCGGCCGATAATATCGGCAGGCCGATATATCGGTCTGGCTCTAATGACCCAACAGGTAAAAAAAATAAAAATTTTGATAAATGCTTTTTGCCACCAGATGGTATAACGGCATCTAACCAGCATGGTTTAATATCATGACAACCAGCTAAACTCACTTCCCTTGGTCAAATAACACCGAAATGATTATTTTATCACCATTTGTTATGTTCTTAAGTTTTACATTGTGAGAAATGGATAACCCTGATGAAGAATAGAGTATGGTATCTCTCAGCCTTTAATAAACGGTGCATGAATATAATTGTAATGATGTTGTTTCTGTCTTCAAGGTGCTGAGGAGTTTGGCTGCTGGTTGTCATGGCGTCGTCCTCGGTGAAGGTGGCGGTGCGCGTGCGGCCTTTCAACAGCCGAGAGACAAACCGAGGAGCCAAGTGTGTGATCCAGATGCAGGACAAGAGCACCTGTGAGTGCAGCACAAACACACACACACACTGATGGGGGGTTTCTGTCTACATTGTGCTTTTGTACACTGTCGCCTTTTCCAACTTTATTGCCATTGGCTTGCTTAGTTGGGGACATTAAATTTAACATTTAATTTAATATTCAACAATAATTTTGATCTGCCTGCATTGACACCATATGAAAACGATGACATCACGGTTTTCTCCAGAGAGGCTATTTAATACACTCACATACACTCAAGGATTATTAGGAACAGCATACTAATACTGTGTTTGACCCCCTTTCTCCTTAATTCTACGTGGCATTGATTCAACAAGGTGCTGAAAGCATTCTTTAGAAATGTTGGCCCATATTGATAGGATAGCATCTTGCAGTTGATGGAGATTTGTGGGATGAACATCCAGTTCCACCACATCTCAAAGATGCTCTATTGGGTTGAGATCTGGTGACTGTGGGGGCCATTTTAGTACAGTCAACTCATTGACATGTTCAAGAAACCAATTTGAAATGATTCCAGCTTTGTGACAAAGTGCATTATCCTGCTGGAAGTAGCCATCAGAGGATGGGGACATGGTGGCCATAAAGGGATGGACATGGTCAGAAACAATGCTCAGGTAGGCCGTGGCATTTAAACGATGCCCAATTGGCACTAATGGGCCTAAAGTGTGCCAAGAAAACATCCCCCACACCATTACACCACCACCACCAGCCTGCACAGTGGAAACAAGGCATGATGGATCCATGTTCTCATTCTGTTTACGCCAAATTCTGACTCTACCATCTGAATGTCTCACCAGAACTCGAGACTCATCAGACCAGGCAACATTTTCACCAATTTTGGTGAGCTCTTGCAAATTGTCGCCTCTTTTTCCTATTAGTAGTGGAGATGAGTGGTACCCGGTGGGGTCTTCTGCTGTTGTAGCCCATCCGCCTCAAGGTTGTGTGTGTTGTGGCTTCACAAATGCATCAACAAGGCATTTTCTCCCACAGGACTGCCGCATACTGGACGTATTTCCCTTTTCACACCATTCTTTGTAAACCCTAGAAACGGTTGTGTGTGAAAATCCCAGTAACTGAGCAGATTGTGAAATACTCAGACACCAACAATCATGCCACGCTCAAAATTGCTTAAATCACCTTTCTTTCCCATTCTGACATTCAGTTTGGAGTTCAGGAGATTGTCTTGACCCCTAAATACATTGAAGCAACTGTCATGTGATTGGTTGATTAGATAATTGCATTAATGAGAAATTGAACAGGTGTTCCGAATAATCCTTTAGGTGAGTTTATAAATGAATTAAACCAATAACTTTTTTACAACAAAATGAAACATTTACTTAAGCTGGACTGTGACACTGTTTTCTTCCGGAAACAAAGTTTGTTGCATTGTTATCTTTGTAAAGCTGCTTTGAAACAATATCTGTATTGTAAAAAGAGCTCTATAAATAAAGGTGACTTGATTTGACTTGCTTCAATACAGAGACACTGCCTTGTCTTTGTCTTCAAAAACAACAGCAACAACGACAACATTCCTTTCATGTGAACGCATAAATTCCAAACATTTGATCCATTGTAGTTTATGGAAGTGGTTGAGTCAGAGTTACGCTTTTTTTGGTATCTCATAGGTAAATATGGTTAGTTTTCAAACATTCGACCCCCCCCCCCCCTCCCCCAAACACACACACACATCGCCCTGCACATGATTTGTTGCCACAATTCTGCTATTTGATCATCACTTTTTTCCCAAAGAGCACATAAATGCATGTAAATATTCACATAAATTATGTAAATATTGATAAGTTAAGCCTAATTTAAATTATGTGTACACTGCTGTTCAAAAGTTTGGGTTCAGGAAGTTTTTTTCTGTTTTTAAAAAGTATCTTATGCTCGGCAAGGCTGCTTTTATTTAATTAAAAATACACAAAAAAGACCAGTAATATTGTGAAATATTATTTGAATTTAAAATATCTGTATATCAATACATTTAATCAGCAAGAATGCATTAAATAGATCAAAAGTTAGAGTAAAGACATGTATCATGTGACACTGAAGACTGATGTAATAATGCTTCAGTTTTGCATCACAGGAACAAAGAAAACTGTTATTTTAAATTGTCATAATATTTAAGAATATAACTGTTTTTTATACATTTTAAATTGCACACATAAAGTTTATTTAGATGTATTAAAATTTGCTCCTTGTAAAAAAAGTAAGCGCCATACGAATTCTAAGAATGTATAAACTCTTTGGCAAGCAGGCCTGTAAATATTTACATCATAAATACAATTTGAAGCAGAAATATTGTAGCTAGTGTTCTCATGCATTCATAAAATACTCAAAAACATTTATTAAATGTTGGCAGGAGGAGTGGTATCTGTGGGAAGAAACTGGCATCAATACAGTTACACCAATCAGTTTTCTAATAATAATATCAGCAATGTTATATATAATATATCTATATGTATATAAAAGGGATAGTTCACTTTGAAATTAATTTTTGGTATGTTTTAGCTTACCTCAAGGGCATCCAAGATGTAGGTGTCTTTGTTTCCACAGTATTTTCAATTTTGATATTTTTAGGTCAAACCGTCCTTGTCATATAATGGAGGTCTATGGTCACCACCTCAACGAGCATGCACAGAGAAGTCCAAATTAAACATGATTTAATGACTCGTAAATGTAAGTACACGTTGATGGATTAAGACACGAGACGAGCGGTTTGTGTGAGAAAACGAACCGTATTTATATAGTTTTTACCTCGTGTAACCAAATTGAAATGAATGGGAAATGGGGAAAAAAAAACTAAATATATTTTCTTCATGCGTCAAAAAAATAAAAAAAAATAATCCAGCATTAATCTGAAACTTTTTACACAGAAATGAAGGCTTAGTACTAGAGCGTAAATGCAATGTATCATAAAAAAATTATATTTCATATGCAAGCCAATGGTGTAGTTGAGGAATTGTGTGGTATATGGATACAAAAGTACTTTATATCTCCAAAAACACAGCATTAATGAATAGATGAGAAGTGAACGAAACAAAAAAGATTTATATATTATTTGTATGATTAAAAATGTATTTTTCTGTACAATTACTCAATCAATTGTTGGGGTCGTATAGACCCCGAAGCCCAGAAGTGTAAACAGGAAACGGAGACCATTTGAAGGTTAAACATGATAAAATTAATATTTGATCATGTTTTCATCTCTTAAAGACCTTAGTATTTTCAGCAGGGTTTTTTTATGTTTAGGTTGGTGCTTCTAAATGTTTCCCGGTAAGTTGAGAGAACCATTGCTACCCAAGTAAAAAAAAAAAGTTAATTTTGAGAGCGGCTGAAAAACCTTGCTCCACACTTTTCCATGGTGATATCCAAAAATACATGTCTCCACCCACATGTTGAAAGAGGGGGAATTTCTGAGAGTTTGGAAACACGCCTCCAAACCACAGTGAAATCCTGCCGTTCACACACAGTCCCGGCTGCCAGACCTCACATTCCCGTCTCCCTGTACACAGCGTTTCCACATCACTCTCTCTTCCACTGCATTTGCCCTACTCCTCTCTCTCTCTTTCTCTCTCTCTTTCTCGCACTCTCTATCTAAAGAATCTGCCGGCCTGGCAGTCTGTTTGGTTTGACCCCCCTCCAACACAAACACTGAGCTGTGTGAGCTCAAGGCAGCAGTGCTCTATTGTTACCCAGCAGTGTTTTATTATGCTGGGGCCTTCTCCACCCTTTGGCTTCCTTTTAATGACCCTATTCACTGAAGTTTAGCTTTTACACTAAAATTAACCACATCATGAATTTTAGAGCGGGCAAAACTGATCTGGTTTGTTTTCTGCGTCATGTACTTTAACAAAAATAACATATCAGCAAAATAACAGCTAACCAGAATGTATGTTGTGTTACATGCATACGTCCCTGTTTAGATTTAAATACACTCTTAGAAGAAAGGGTTCTATTTAGAACCAGAAATGGTTCCATCCCCCGCTTCATATATGGAACTCCAAAATGGTTCTATACAGAACCATTTTTTTTTTGTAAAAGGTTCTATTGGCCAAGTATGGTAATGGAACCCCAGGGTTCTGTATAGAACCCAGAGGAACCCTTTTTTAAGAGTGTATAGAACCTTTTAGGGGTTCCAAATACGTAGCGCTGATATAGAACCTTTTCTTCTAAGAGTGTAGGCAAAAAAAATGAAAAGTTTCATTTTTACCTTCATCTCAAATTGAATGAAGGCAAAACTGATCTAGATCTGGTTTGTTTTCTGCATCATGCCATTACTAAATTAACAATATCAGCAAAATAACAGCTAACCAGAATGTATGTTATGTTACATATACAAGTTTGGATTTAAATAGGCAAATGCTTAAAGGGATACTTCAGGATTTAGCATTAAGCTTTGTATTAGTAGAAAACCTGTAGTATTTTCAAATTACCGTGCTTTCCACCCTCATATCCCCCTGAGACGAGAGATTTATGTATTTTTTGCCTCCGATCAAGCAAAAATCGTCATTTCGCATCATCGGAGGATTTTTTGTCCAGAGGCTAAAGACTACAGTCAGTAGTCGGGTCTGACCCGCATGTCCTCAACCCGCCCATAGAGGGCGATCTCACTCACAGAATGAACACATAGGGTCGGCCATCTTTGTTTGGAAGCTAAGCTAGCAGGCTCTTGTTCTGTGGAGAAAGCTGAGTAGTAGGGGTTACCATCCTCTTTTTCACAGACATGTCCGGGATTCAGCTTTTGCTTTCTGCAGTCGCCATTCATTGTTTACATGCACAGCTTTTGTTTCAATCGAACTGAATTCATTCCGATTGGTGAATCTGAATGTAGTGTTTACATGAACGCTAAACAAGTGATCGGTTGATGTGCGTTTTAACATTGCTAAGAAAATTCGTGAGAGATACGAGACCGGTGCGTCTCACAGGTGCTGCTCATCGGTAATCACGCCACCGGCCTCGCGCCGTTCTCCCGCGGCCCTCACTCGTCCCGCTCGCCACAGTAAACATGATGAACGGCGACTGTAGAACGCAAACGCCCAATCCCGGACATTTTGGGCGATCTGGAAACAAACTCATCACGGAGACTCACTAGTAGCCTAGACTTGTTGTTTAACTATTGCGCTCTGTTATCGGTAGGCGTGGCCTCCTTGGGCAGCGAAGCAAGTGCATTCTGGGAGTTGTTGTCTTTCTTCCACATAAGCCAAAAATACATTTTCTGGCTTTTCTCAGTCTAGAAAGCTCCAAATTCAAAAATAATTTCACATTTATTCTACATCAATGACTCATTTTAAATACACATTCATCTTTCCAGAGGTGAAGTATCCCTTTAAGAGTCAATGATTGAGTCATCATTGCCGTGATAATTATGTTTCTAGCGTGTTATATGACCCTGCTCACTGGAGTTTCACTTTTACCTTCATCTCAAATGAACTACATCAAACTGAATTTTAGAAAGGGCAAAACTGATCTAGTTCTGGTTTGTTTTTAGCGTCATGTTCATCAGCTAACCAGAACATGCAATTCCCATTACAATAGTAGCGGGAGAATAAGATTATAAACTACAGAATCGACCATGATGTTAATTTTTAACGTCACAATGACACAATTGTGTGCTAGAGACAGTTCTTCCTGCTGCCAATTCCACACACATAAAATCCTTGAATAAGTTTCTAAACTTCAATAAAGTTTGGAAGGGGCAAAGCATTGTACAAATGACCACTTTTTTACTGTGACTGACTGTGATGAAGTTTGTGTGTGTGTCTGCAGAAACGCTGTAAAGTCTCCTGTTCATCACTATATAAATTGACGCCACTTGATTTGACGTTTTATCTGACATTCTTGCATTTAAATGTAGTTTAAGTGTACTTTTGAGGTCTGTTTGAGACGTTTTGTATGCAGATGGGAGATTTTCCTAGTAGGGATATGGTGTCAAAGGTCATTCTAAAGCTACTGAAAGAAATGTGTGTGGAGGGGAAGCACTGTTTCCCTGCAGTGTTTGCAGAGCTGGGATCTTTCTGAGCTCATGATGGATGGACGGGACTGTGTGTTGACATGCCTTGGTAATAGTAGAAAAGCCCCCACTGCTCCTTGATACTCCCATTCAATTCAACTTTTAAAAAGCAAGGACTGCTTACTAATAAATGTAAATAAAACACCGTTCTTGGATGTTGATTGGTCAGTACAGCTTTCCAGACATGCTAAATTATGCTATATTATGTAATATAGTAACCACTTGAACAATTATTCAACTAGTATGTGTTCAGGAATCTCTGGGATGCACTGATGTAGAGGCATCTGCCAGTTATCGACCCATTAAAGCAGATTGTTTGAAATTAGCCCATGATCAGGGCAGATTATAGCCTGTCAATCAAAAGGGGGTGGGAAAACATGTCAGAAATACTTTGTGTGAAGAAACTCTTGTGTTGAAGTTAACATTACAGCAATGCATTAACAGTTTAAAAGCAGGCTCTATTTGACCCTATGAATCACCTGTTGTTTTAACCAGGGTTGCCAGGTCCTCGGGTATTATATGCACCAAACATTGTAGTCTGCCTCCCATCCAATTATTTAAATGAGAAACACTCTCAGCTTTTTATTTCTGGCCATGTCGTAATTATTAGACTGGAATTACCTAAAAATACAGTTTTTTTTTTGTCAGTATTATGTGCAAAATTAGTCTGAATTATGTGTTTGTTTTACAGGTATTACTAATCCCAAACAACCCAAGGATTTGCCCAAGAACTTCACGTTTGATTATTCATACTGGTCACACAGCTCAGTAAGTTGAAAACTTTTTTTTTTTAATTGTATGAATCTGTCATTAAAGGAGAACTCCGGTCAATTTTAACATTGAGCTCATTTTTTTGTACATTCGGAGTGCTGTCAGTACAGACAAAAACGACAACCGGTGTTGACTACACAGTGTTGTTTTTAAAATTCGCACCATGTTGACCTGGGGCATGTTCTAAACCTGCTTTTAGCCTCTTAACATCCTTGATTTGTCATTACAAGTGCACAGCCATGTGAGTGGTGTTATTAAGAGTGACCACGGTCAATCTGACTGCAGTAGATGTGAAAGATATGAATAAGAATGATGTTAATTCAGCCAGCTCACGTACCTGTATTTGCTTCCTGTTTTTGTTCGAAGCCCACAGTAGTCGATTGTCGAGTTAACGTTTGCGATCATTGGTGAATATCATCTCAAACCTGCCACTGAACCTTCATCTGAATCAGATGTTGAACATCATTTAGTTAAAGGGTTAGTTCACCCAAAAATGAAAATTCTGTCAGTATTTACCCTCCCTCTTGTTGTTCCAAACCTCGATGTGTTTATTTGTTCTGCTGAACACAAAGGAAGATATTTGGAAGAATGTTTTAATCAAACAGATCTCATTCCCTGTTAACTACCATTGTGTATTTTTTCCTACTATGGAAGTCAATGGGGAATGAGATCTGTTTGATTAAAACATTCTTCCAAATATCTTCCTTTGTGTTCAGCAGAACAAATAAACACATCGAGGTTTGGAACAACATGAGGGTGAGTAAATATTAGAGCCAGACCGATATATCGGCAGACCGATGTTATCGGCCGATATTAGGCATTTTCCAAACTATCGGTATCGGCAGTTGTAATGGCCGATAAATGAATATTTCAAAAGTAAAATAAAAACAGACGAAACACGCTTGAACCATGTCATGAGTGTTGGAGTTGTATAGTTTGTCCACCAGTTGGCAACACTCGTTGAGTTGGTCACGATACATACATTGCTTGAATAACAATTAAAAGAACATCCACATCAGTTCTCTTAACTCAAATAAGCTTGACAAAATTTGTGACTATCAGTTTGTGACTGTCCAGTTTAAATAAATAAATAAATAAAATATCGGATTTTAAAACCCAAAAATATTTGTATCGGTATCAGCCTTCAAAATCCTTTTATCGGTCGGGCTCTAGTAAATACTGACAGAATTTTCATTTTTGGGTGAACTAACCCTTTAACAATGATCACACGCGCAAACTCGACAATCTACTACTGTGGGCTTCGACCGAAACGGTTTCCTCAAAAACTTGATTGATAGCCATGCCACATCTTACATGCAATCACAAAGTACGCAATAGATGATACTTTATAATTGATGTACGCAATACATCAATTTTAGATGCAATTTTATTATTTGTTAGTATGAACCAATACTCTATTACTGCATATTTAAAAGTATGTACTTGCGTTGTATGCATGCACATTTTAGCTGTGAATGCTCTGCATATAATAGTCAATATATTAGGGCTGTCAAACGATTAATCACATCCAAAATAAAAGTTTGTGCTTGCATAATATATGAGGGTGCACCATGTATAATTATTTGTATCTATATAAATACATTAAATACATAAATACAAACATATTTAAGAATTATTTGCACTTAAATTCTTTATATATAGATATAAATACATAATCAATATTATATCAATATTTTATATATGAATAACACATTTTCTTAAATATATAAATGCATGTGTGTTTATTTATATATACAAAATAATTATATACAGCACACACAAATATTTTATGTAAACACAGACTTTTATTTTGGATGCGATTAATCGCAATTAATTTTTGCACAGCCCAAATATATATATATATATATATATATATATAATCATACACAGTGCACCCACATATATTATGTAAACAGTAAACACAAACTTTTATTTTGGATGCGATTAATCGTTTAACAGCCCTACAACATATCGATTACAAAAAAACACTGATGTATATGCACTTTTAGTTGTAAAGTATGTGAGTTGGGCCTTTATTAAACACTCTTGTTTTCCTTGGACATTCATCTGATCACTGAAAACTCCTGACTTTGTCCCTTTGTGCTGTGTTGCAGGAAGAAGACCCATCCTTTGCATCTCAGAAGAAGGTCTATCAGGACATCGGCGAGGAGATGCTGCTTCATGCTTTCGAGGGCTATAACGTGTGCATCTTTGCTTATGGACAGACCGGAGCAGGGAAGTCATACACAATGATGGGAAAACAAGATCCGGGGCAGCAAGGCATCATACCACAGGTGTTTGTATGAAGATAGCATGAATGAAACCTTCCAAAATATGAACGCGTTCAGGCACAACACTGATTGTAGTCTATAGATGAGTAAAGCTATATTCTCAAAATCTACCAGTAGGTTTGGGTTTTCTGAATAACTATTCGATTGATCTGTTAAAAGTGCTGCATTTTAAAAAAAATGTTGTGCTAATTTTTTGTTGTTGTTGCATATAACCGAATGAACGGCTCTTGAGAAATGTCTTGGCATGAGGCATCAAATATTCTTTGATCTTTTCACATACTGTACTATTTGCAGTGTTGTAGTCGAGACCACCTCACTCGAGTCCGAGTCGAGACCGAAACCAGATAGATTCGAGTCCGAGTCAAGACCGAGTCCATAGAGAGTCGAGTCCGAGTCGAGTCCGAGACCAGAGACAGTCGAGTCCGAGTCGAGACCGAGACCAGTGATTTACTTTTATTTACTTAGAGAAATCCTTTTTTTTTTTTTTTTTTTACTGAATTTACTTAGAGTTTTAAAAATATGATCAGTTTAGGGTAAAAAGGCCACATAGTAGGTGGTGTTAAAAGTAATTTTATTACAATTTGTCATGCGCAGTTGCGCACTAGAAAATCACCAATCACTGGATGTGTCAATCAATTTAAAGAAATATTTTATTAACATACATTAATAATCATGAAAAATATTTTTAATTGAACTCGAGTGGACTCGGGAATAAGTCCGAGTCCTAAAAAAAAAAAATGTTCGAGTACGAGTCAATTCCGAGTCCAAATGCACACGAGTCCATGACGAGACCGAGACCATTAAAATATGGTCTCGAGACCGAGTCCGAGTCTCGAGTACTACAACACTGACTATTTGTACTAGAAAATACTGTAAGTATTGACAAAATCCAGTGACTGAACATCTTACGGTATACAGTCACTCATATCTCTTATTACACAGCATTTCACCACATTAATAATTATGAGGATTCGATATATTGATTTCAGATTAAACTGTTTTAAAATCGTACCTGTTTGTATCTCATAATCCAACAGTGTATAAAACAATAGTCACAAAATGGCAGCAGCGTTTAAATGAAACAAGAGAGAGCGAGTCCACGATACTGGATGGCATAATTAAATAACTGTACACAATATATTGATTCGACTGAATTTTAATATTTTATTAGGTCACCAAACGTAAAACATCCACGAAGAAAACCCGTTCCTAGCAAGTGTATATCACTGCTGACTTCAGTGACCCGGATGTGGTTGTTATCTGGGAATATTTTACCGCTGAATGATGCGATTGACCAATCAGAATCAAGTATTCCACAGAGCCGTGTAATAATCACGTATAAAGATTGATCTGTACATAAAGCACACAAATTTGGTAAACAGAAGCTCAAGAATGCTTGCAATTTGTAATGAACAAAAACAGCAGGGTCCATTAGTGAGTGGTTCTCATTACTTGAAGTAATTAATCATTTATTCTGTACTTGTGTTGAATTGAGCTCTTTTACTGATCACATCTCTCTCATTGTGCATTTTCCCCCCTAGATGTGTGAGGATTTGTTCAGACAAACAGCAAATAACACTGACCCCGACCTGTCCTTCTCTGTAGAGGTATGTGTGTGTTTAAACCACTGTGTGCTGCCGTGTTAGTGCCACATTATGCTTTTTCGAATAATACATTTCATGCAGTGTGTAAAGTAGCTATGTGAATGTAAACAGTCTGATAAGATGAAAGTGCTCAACAAATAAAACAGACTTGATTCTGAACTGACTCTTCATTGGCTGCAAGCGAACAGCGTCTACTTTGACCCTCAAACACTGTAGTTGTAGCTGTGACTGGAAGAGTTTGGTTTGATAAGTTTGATGCACTCATTAAAGGATGAGACCCACGCTGGAATTGATTCTGTTAAAACCGATCATTACTGTTCATATCATGGTGTATTAAGTGTGAGGGAGATCTAGAGCAGACATTTATACATGACAATAGGTGTTTGCTTACCGAAACGCACCTTAAGAGGTCGACCAATCACAACAGACACGAAACTTTCCGAGAACCGGCCCAATCAGAGCAGAGCAAATTTCGTGAGGCCGAATGGTTTCAGACACTTTGAGAAAAGAGCTGATGCTGCGATGTATATTATGAGAAAAAGAAAGTGTTTTTTGACCTTGGTTGCATGTAAACACTTCCGAAATAAAATGAGGAATCTTTAAAATACTTTAAAACAGATGACTATCCATTGATGCACAGACTCATAAAGCATATGCCGTCAGATTAAAGGAGTAGTTCACTTTTAAATAAAACGTTTGCTGATAATTTACTCACCCCCATGTCATCCAAGATGTCCACGTCTTTCTTTCTTCAGTCGAAAAGAAATTAAGGTTTTTGATGAAAACATTCCAGGATTTTTCTCCATATAATGGACTTCAATGGGAACCAAACGGTTTCTAACGGAGCAAGCCTTGCTCTGTTCTGTGATGAGCGTTCGTGACTCTCCTGTTCGAACTCGTTCATTAAAATGAACTAATCTTTTCCAGAGTCAACTTGTTCATTTTGTTCGTTGAATGAACCAATTGACACGAATAAAAATTAATTTTGATGAACGAGTCGAGTTCGAACAGGAGAGTCACAAACGCGCATCACAGAACAGAGCAAGGCGAGCGTTTGTGCTAATAAAACTTAATTATTTTTATTTTTTTAAATGAGCGATCGTTTCGCTTGATAAGACCCTTATTCATCGTCTAGAATCGTTTAAAGCCCTTTGAACAGTCTTTTGAACCTTGAACCGTTTGGTTCCCATTGAAGTCCATTATATGGAGAAAGATCCTGGAATGTTTTCATCAAAAACCTTAATTTCTTTTCGACTGAAGAAAGAAAGACATGGACATCTTGGATGACATGGGGGTGAGTAAATTATCAGCAAAAGTTTTTTCAAAAGTGAACTTCTCCTTTAAACTGTGAATAAATAATTTCTTGATATAAAACAATAAAACTCTTTATATATTATATAGTCAATTAAGTATTTGATATAATATGTTTTTAGGTTTCATATATGGAGATTTACTGCGAGCGGGTTCGGGACTTGTTGAACCCAAAAAGCAGAGGGTCCTTGAGGGTCCGAGAGCATCCTATAATGGGCCCTTACGTAGAAGACCTCTCCAAAATGGCGGTTACAAACTACAGCGATATCGCAGATCTCATGGACACTGGCAACAAAGCCAGGTACTATCATCATGATTATGATTCAGTTTGAAAATAAGCACTTTTGATTGATAATGGATCAGTGTTTACTTTAATCAAGCAGATAAAAGACTAAAAATAATTTTCCTTTTACTTAAAGGACGGTTGCTGCTACCAATATGAACGAGACCAGCAGTCGCTCGCACGCGGTCTTCACCATCCTCTTCACACAGCGTCGACACGACCACATGACCAGCCTGGACACTGAGAAGGTGTGTGTTAGAGATTAGAAAACAGTCCTTTTTTTCTTCTTCTCTTCTCACTCTGCGTTCTTTGTGTAACTCTCAGGTGAGCAAGATCAGCCTGGTTGATCTGGCAGGAAGTGAGAGAGCAGACTCATCTGGAGCCAAAGGCTTGAGGTTGAAGGTGTGTTTGACGTCATTATTAGTTATGGATTAAAGGAAGGATTTTAAACCAAAACAACAAGCTGACATCATTTACCCACCCTCAGCACTGTTGTAAAACCATTTAAAGGTGCATTATGCAACAAATCAATGTAAAAATACCAGTTTTTCTACCCCATACATGCTTAAACAATCGCCTGATGGGCTGAACGAGCCCTTCTCTGATCACTGCGATTGCCTCTATAATCCTGTACAGTAAAATAAATAAGAGGGGTTCGAATTTGAGACTGGGCGTGATGTCATGTGCGTTCACGGCACGCTCACCTAGCTATGTCTTCAGGTTTGTGTATTCACCACCAATCTCCGTATCAGAGAAGACAACTCGAGCGACACAACTTTAGTCAACTTTCGGCAAAAGTGGAAGAGTGTGTGTGTGTGGTCCATGAGCCCGCACACCTCTGGTTGCAGTTTCGCTTGTCACCAGAGGGGGCGTAGTTCTGCAAAAACTCAGAGATTTGCACAATGCACCTTTAACTTTGAGTCTTTGTCTCTGTGGAACTCGGGAGATATTCTATCATAAGATAAACCAAGATAAACAAATCAAGATAAACAAATCATAAAAGTAGTTCATATGACTTGTATATGAAGTAGATAGAGACACATACACACACAGAGACACTAACACAGCCGTTCAAAATTGTAAGAACCATTATTAAAATTGAGGATCAAATCTTCATATTAGACCGATTTCTGAACGATCATGTGACACTGAAGACTGGACTAATGATGCTGAAAATTCAGCTTTTGATCACATGAATAAATTACAGTTTAAATATTGATTCAAATAGAAAATAATTTTAATTTTTAATAATATTTTACAATATTTCTGTTTTTTACTGTTGTTGATCAAATAAATGCAGCCTTAGTAAGAAGCAACCAAAAAAGAAACCAAAAAAAGACGTAATTATTAAATCATTAAATGAATTAAATTAATTAATTCAATCGTAATTATTTTAAACTTAACCGTGTGTGTGCATATATATATATATATATATATATATATATTAGGGCTGTGCAAAAATTAATTGCGATTAATCGCATCCAAAATAAAAGTCTGTGTTTATATAATATATTTGTGTGTGCTGTATATAATTATTTTGTATATATAAATACATATACATGCATGTATATATTTAAGAATTATTTGCGCTTAAATTCTATATATATATATATATATATATATATTATATATAAATATAAATATTTTATATATGAATAACACATTTTCTTAAATATATACATGCATGTGTTTGTATTTATATATACAAAATAATTATATACAGCACACACAAATATATTATGTAAACACAGACTTTTATTTTGGATGTGATTAATCACAATTAATTTTTGCACAGCCAGAAAGAGAGAGAGAGAGAGAGAGAGAGAGAGAGAGAAATTTCTATATTAAGTTTTCTGATGCTACATATATGATATGTGTAAAAGAACAATAAATGATATATTTGTAAATGTGGAAGTTGTAATAAGCGATATGAGCGGAAGGGAATTATGAATTATGAGTTTTCTTTTTCAGAAAGCTTTTCTGTACAGCACAGTTGTGTAAATTATGACAACTTACACTTTCTGTTGAATTAACCTTTTAATCTCAAGTGTTAACAGATCATTTAAACAGTATTGTTTGTTTTTAGGAGGGAGCCAATATTAACAAATCTCTGACAACACTGGGTAAAGTCATCTCAGCACTGGCAGACATGGTGAGAACTACTCCTTCTTGTGCTCATAAATCTTCCGGTCGCTCCTCTGTTTCTTTCTGCTGCTTCAGTTCTGTTTGTTTCCCATCTGTCGTCTCCTTGTCTTCACTTGTCTTTGTCTCATATGTTGAGTTCTTTGTCAAGACTAACACTATAACTTCCCCTCCACAGCACGGCACAAAGAAGAGACGCTCTGATTTCATTCCCTACAGGGATTCTGTGCTCACGTGGTTATTGAGAGAAAATCTAGGTATGTCTTTCGGTCTAAAGGCCTATTCACAGGCTTTCTATTGAACCGATACATTCCTATAGATCTACTCATACAGGGGCGAAACAATTTTTTTCCGTTTAGAGTCACTGAAATAAACGAATCGACCAATAAGATGCTTTTGGTTCATGTGTTGTTAGACCCTGTTGTATGTCCCATCAGAAGATCTGTTTTGTCCTGCTTATAAAACCAGTTTGGTCTGACACCTAATACCAGTTGATATCCAGCTATTTATAATTTAACTCTTCGATCAGTCCAACATTAAGACATTGTCTTATTTTTAAAAACCTTGAGACATTCTTCTGTCTCTAACTTGCTTCTGAAGACAAACACAATGCACAACAAAAGATAAATGATGAGCAAATCTTGTGTATCATGCATATGTAACTTACAGAGATGCAGATATTGGCTGTTTGTCTATGATTTAGATTTATTTTTTGTCTTAAGAAAATTGCTATATTTAATTGATTAATTCAACCCCAATATTCTGTCATCACTGACTTAAAATATATAAATAAATAAAGATTAATTTAGTATAACATGAGGGATTTCTGTCCTGAAAGTCAATGAAACCAGAATAATTTACTGTTTTATTTAAAAAAAACAACAACAAAAAACTTGCATTCAGCAAGTATGCATTCAATTGATCAAAAATGACTGTAAAGATAATGTTACATAACATTTTAAATCATGGTTTTCACAAAAATATGATTAAGCATTAAAAATATTATTAATTTTTAAGCAAAAATATGATTATTTTTGTTTATATATATATATATATATATATATATACGTATATATATATGTATATATAAATACACACACATACATGTATATTTAAGAAAAAAAAAATATGTAAATGTAAATTTAATATTTTTAATAAAAAATATTATCAGAATAAAATAAATATATTTTTAATAAATGTATAAATATATATTTATTTAATATAAATTATATATAAATCTATGTACAGTATAGACATATATATATAAATAAAATAATTATACACAGTGCACCCACATATATTAAACTTTTATTTTGGATGCGATTAATCGCCATTAATTGTTTGACAGCCCTATTTAAATTGTAATAATATTTCACAAAATGAATGTTTTTACTGCATTTTTGGTTGAATGAATGCAGCCTTGGTGAGCAGAAGACACTTCTTTCAAAACATTAATAATGTATTATTTTATTTTTAAACCATAATTTATAAACAGGCCTTATACACCTGTCACTCTCTACTATTTTATTAATATTAATCAAACGACAATATCAAACCACTTCTCTTCATTTATTTCCTTATTACTGTCTTTCTAGAAAAACTTGAAAAGTCACTTAATTGAGAAATTCTTCTCTCTATATAAGCTAAATACCATTGCGTTATTTTAATTTGTGATTGATGTATTCATTTGTAGCTTTAATGATTACATAAAATAGTGTGTTCTTGGATCGAACGAGTCTTTAAACACGGATGTTTAACTGAGTGTTTGTGTTTGAAGGTGGAAACTCTCGCACGGCCATGATTGCTGCTCTGAGCCCTGCAGATATTAATTATGAAGAAACACTCAGCACTCTCAGGTGAAAACTTCTTTTTCAGCATACATTTGAGGTCAGAGGTGGGCACAAATACATCAAAAACTATTTTGTTACAAAATAAAAATACTGGCTCATGAAATGTATTTAAATAAAATACAAGTAATTAGTATTTTGAAAATACAACATTGTCCTGTATATACTACGTAAGCTCCAGCACTGTGTGTCCCTCTGCAGGTATGCAGACAGAGCGAAGCAGATAAAGTGCAATGCTGTGATAAATGAGGATCCGAACGCACGTCTCGTCCGGGAACTCAAAGACGAGGTCAACAGACTCAAAGAGCTCCTGCTGTCTCAGGGACTCAGCAACCTCATCACTGCCTCAGGTATATTTACAGCTGTCAGAGAGGTCTGTTCACAAGTGGACGGTGCCAAAATAGGTATCAACATGGGTAACACGTCGGCATGAAATGGAAGTTGTGTTCTTTTGTTGCCTATTGAGATGTATCTGAGTGAAATGGCATCTGGAACAAGAGATGATGTAGGGCAGGGTTTAATTTTGTCCATAGGAAATTGATTGCATGGTTGTGGTTTGCTATTGGTCGATCTCATGTGAGTGACAGGTTGCCCCGCCCTGTTGCTGCAAGAAGGAGTCGATAAATAATTTATATTAAATACTGCAATATTTAATAAAAATATAAATAAAGCAAAATTATATTTTAAAGCCTATATTTAGGACCAGATTTTTGCATGGACATCATTATTCATCATTCTCATTTGTGATTCTTATTACTTAAAATAATACAGGACTGTATTTGAAGAGTTCAGATGCAAAAGCCTCTAAATGCCATTTGAAATTTTCTTCTTTAATGATGATTTTTTTTTTAGAAAATTTGTATATTTAAGTTCAGTAATTTCACTTTAATAACAATTAATAGGTAATTATCATTGCCATTTAAGTGAAATTACTGAACTTAAATATACAAGCTTGATAAAAATCATCATTAAAGAAGAAAATTTCAAATGGCATTTAGAGGCTTTTGCATCTGAACTCTTCATTTATTTTCTATTATAAAAAAGTTTTTTATTATTTATATCGGCACAAAAAAATGTAATAAAGTACTATTAAATACTGTTCAAGATTTTTTTTGTTTTGTTTTTGAAAGAAGTCTTTGATCAATTTAATGCAACAAAAGTAAAAAAAACTGGTAGTGTATTTTTCCTCATTAGAGAAATTAAATGTGTTTTGCATTACAGTAGTGAGCGCTGAGGTGGGAAATCTGATGCACAGAAGTTATCAGAACTGGACTAAAGGCCACTAACTTGAATTTTGATTTCATGGTATTTTTTAGCTGTACACAGTCAAAGTAATTTTCCATAACAAATAACTTGGATGCTCATTTTCTCTAAGGGTCTGAAACGGGCCGCCCGTCTTTGGGAGTTGCATCAAGTGAGCTCTGTCAGCCGTCGCTCTCATATGTACAGTCTACCTCTGATGCACCGATGGAGGGTGAGACGCCCGCTAGTCCAACTGAGCACATCAGCCAAGAGGAGGCTGTGGAGAGACTCAAGGTACACATGACAGACACTTCTGTTACCAACATCATTGAATAAGTGATTTTACACTTATTTTTTGGTATATATATATATATATATATATATATATATATGAAGAGTTCAGATGCAAAAGCCTCTAAATGCCATTTGAAATTTTCTTCTAAAATGACAATTTTTATCAAGCTTGTAAGTTCAGTAATTTCACTTAAATGACAATTAATAGGTAATCTTCATTGCCATTTAAGTGAAATTACTGAACTTAAATATACAAGCTTAATAAAAATGATCATTTTAGAAGAAAATTTCAAATGGCACTTAGTGGCTTTTGCATCTGAACTCTTCATATATATATATATATATATATATATATATATACAGTATATATTTATATATACAGTATGTGTATATATATATATATATATATATATATATATATATATATATATATATATTTACCAAAAAAATAAGTGTAAAATAGAGAAAATATGTCTGACTGACATTGTTGGACTTTCTCTAACAGGAAACCGAGAAGATAATTGCAGAGCTGAATGAAACATGGGAAGAGAAACTCAGGAAAACCGAGTCGATACGACAAGACAGGTGAGAGCAGGCACAACCCAGTGAAGTGTTGACAGTATTCAAAATGTGTGCACAATTATAACATAAACTCTGGATAATTAATGGAATAAATGTACCCTGTGAATGTAAATGTCCAGATACACTAAACTGACAAGAACTAGTGCCGACGAAAGCATCTGGGCTGAAAAATTGAGCTTGAATCCACTGCAAAAACCAACTAACACATGCGTTCTGTGCCTGTGTGATAGGAAATAACTCTATTATTATAAATTATGATATTATAGACGATCCATATCGCACACCACTAGATTCCAGCCTAAACTACAGCAAAAAAATCTCTTGTTGGATAATCCATGTGTGCTTTCTGATAGTCAAGTGAGACTAAACCCACAGGGTTTCTCTGTTGTGACACATTAGGGAGTCACTGCTGGCTGAGATGGGTGTGTCTGTGAAAGAGGATGGAGGTACAGTGGGTGTTTTCTCACCCAAAAAAGTGAGTCAAGTCATATTCATTTGTATTGCACTGTTTACAATACACATTTTGTTAAAGGTGCGGTTTCTCAGACGAAATCCAGTCATTTCGATATGAATTCATGAATCAGGATGTGTGTTTTATCCCCAGACGCCCAACCTGGTGAATCTGAACGAGGATCCTCTGATGTCAGAGTGTCTGATCTATTATATTAAAGATGGAGTCACTAGGTGAGCAGTGAGATTGAAGGACTGATCTGTTTCTTTGTAAATACTGCACTGTGTGTCTCATGACTGTGTGTGTTGCAGAGTTGGTCAGGAGGATGTGGACATTCGTCTCAGTGGTCAGTTTATAAAGGAGCTGCATTGCGTCTTCTGCAGTGAAGTCAATGAAAATAACGAGGGTGAGAGCAGTCACATGACTTTCATTACATTTCTGGAGTCCCACAAAAGCTGACACTAAAAACATTTATTTTAAAATCAGTGCTGTTCTGTTGAACTTTCTATTCTTTAAAAATTGTAGTAAACGCTCTTGAATCCTTAAAAAAAATCATGGTTGCCACACACAGCACCATTGTTTTCAACATAATAATAATAGTAGGCACGTTTCCATTACAGATTTGCACAAAACTTTTGCGATATTTTCTAAATGTTGATAAAAAACGCTTGCGAAATGACGGCGTTTCCATTAACCGATGTTATGCGACTAAAACGTCTTTTTTTCCTCTCGCGATAAGTCATTCCAAAAATCATGGCAGCGGACGTTGGTAGGTTTATAACCTAATATATCGCAGCCACCGCACTAGACATTATTATTATTATTAATGGAAGGAGACGTGGTGTGTTATCCAAACATTAATGGCAGGGAAAGACACGGAGTTCCTGGGTGTTTCTCCCTCATTTCTGCTCCGAGGTCTTGATTGTGGCATTTCTTTGAGGTTTAGAGTCCAGTAGGCTATTCCTGTAATTATTGGTTCTTTTATGAATTTAATAAAGAACTCTATCTCATATTATGTCCTAACAGTCATCGTTTTCCCTTATTTAACCCGTAATTGCAAAACGAAAAAATGAACGGTTGTTGAATTTTCAAAACTTAAAAATAATGAGCTAAAAAAATATCTCCATCTCTGGATGCACCTTTAGAGAGAAATGCACCTTTCATACTGATTATTACGTAATCAGAAGGTATTAGCTTACGAATTTGTTGGTTTTAAAGTGGACTATATGCTACGTTCACACTGGACGTGAATAGCGTGTCAAATTCGCGTCTAGTTTGACGCTTGACCACTTTGTGTTAATTCGTGCATCAAGAGCGAAACTGACACGCTTACAATTAAAAATTTGAAGCAAAATTTACGCGCGTCTCGTGCGTCAAAATCGAAAGCCGTTGGCGGCCATCTTTTTTTATGCTGATCAAGCATTCATAGAGAGATTCACCGCACTGTATTTGCTCTGGAGAGAAGAACAGCGGCATGGGGATCATCGTCGCCGTATTTGTGACTTCGGAGGCGAACCGTTTGGCGAGTTTCACCATTTGCTCGCTCCAGGAGCTGCGCTGGATGTCGGCTGCTGTCAGCGGTACTTCCGCCTGTCCTGTTGCCAGTTTGATGACCTGTTGTCCCGCATCAGAGCGAGGATCACCATCGCCCTCATCCATCGAATCTAGCTGTCATTTATTTTCATTTTGATAAATAGAGTCTCCAAAAGTTATTAACCTGTCCTGTGATTTTTTTTTCTTTTTTTTTTTTTTTTTTTTTTTTTTTTCCTCACGTCCAGACACAAACTTATGCACATGTATGTTGGTTGTCTTTACATCATAATAATATTTCATATAATCTAGATATGGAATGAATAACATTCAATACGAAATGAACATGTCTCGTATATAGAAATAAAGTTTTAAGTGATAAAATATTTGCTTTGTTGTGCATAAGAATCCCACCATGCATTTAGTCATATTACAAAATAATTGATTGAAGCATCCAGATACTTCACCACATGAGCAAGCAGCTAGGCACCTGATTGGTTAACGTGGCGCGAATTAACGCCAAAGTTCAGATTTTTCAACTCGGGCGGCAGGCGTGAATTCGTGTCAAACGCGTGAATGAACAAATAGCACTAAGTCATTCACGCTAAACGCGCCAGACGCTCAATTCGCGGGCACGAGGCGTATTCGCGTCTATTCAATTGTCTTTGCATTGACTTAACATTGAAATCATTTGCGCCTGACGCGCTATTCGCGTCCGGTGTGAACGTAGCATTTAGTCTACATAGACTAATATTGTTTCAGTTCTCGCGCTCCAGTTCACAAAGATCACGAAAGCGCGCCTGATCGTTTTATTTTATTTTACAAAAGCACAATGTTTTCTTGTTATTGTGACATTACGCAAATAAAAGTAGTTGCGAATAAAGTATTATTATTTTCTGTATAACCAGAAATAATAGAGGGTTTTAAGTTGTCTCCACTGTTGATAGGAAAATGCAAGTGTTCGCGGCGCACCCGCACCTGTCTGCCATCCAGTGCGCCACACTCCGCACACACTTGGATATTCGTCAAAATCTTGTGTTTATTTGTGATAATCTTAGCCCTATTGTTATTATTATTGTCCAACATGTACTATGAATGAGATGTGACGAATTATTTTTTTCCTATATTATTTATATTATTTTTTATTATATTATATATATTTATTTTATATTATTTACTTTGTTTCTTTTTTGGATAAAAGCGTTTTCTACATATGTAGCCTAATAAATGTTATAACAATGATGATAATTATTATTATTTGCGGACACGAACCCAAGTCAAGTGACTGTAAATGCGCAAAACCCGTTTCCATTGCAGTTTTTGCGAAATTTCTAATTTCTATTGTGCGTATTTTCATTTCGCAATTTCAATTTGTGCAAATTGAAGGGATATGGAAACGCGGCTACTAATAATAAGTAGAAATGTTTAGTGAGCATCAAATGATCATATTAGAGTGATTTCTGAAGGATCATGTGACACTGAAGACTGGCATAATGATGCTGAAAATTCAGCTTCGATCACATGTATAAATTGAAGTTTAAAATATATTCACATAGAAAACAGTTCTTTTAAACTTTTAAAAGTCACAGAAGTAGCCATATACTTGTATAGTAGTTATATAATGCAGTGACAATGTATTTTGCCACATCAACAATGTTGATGTGATGTTTTAGGCATGACAAAACCATTTTGATGTTTTTAATGTAATCTCATGTGTGTGTCTGCAGTGGTGGTGACTTTGGAGCCGTTAGTTGGAGCAGAAACATACGTCAATGGCAAACGCATCAATGACGGTGTTGTACTCAAACAAGGTGACTTTTTTTTTCCAATTTACTTCTTCATGTGTTTTTAATTTTGTGGTTCAGAATCAGAATGGAATATTAGTGTATTGTTTACTACAGACCTCACCGTTCAAACCTGCCTACTATTATTTCATATAAAACACTGTTATACAGGACTTAACATGCAACGGTAAACATTTCAATTACTTTAATTTGGAAATAACTGCAGTTATAATGCATTTTTAAATTAGTTCGGGTTAGTTCACCCAAAAATGTAAATTCGTCATCAATTACTCACCCTTGTGTTGTTCAGCATAGTCAGCAAACAAACATAAAGCATTTCATTTGGTAAATGGAAGCTCAAGCATGAGAACAAACAGGTTCGGTTGAGCTTTTATGTGAATATTAGCCTAAATACACTCTGTACATCATATAAAGCGATCGTAGACTTTGATTAAACCGCTTGATTCATATGGATACGTTTTACAATCTCTTTATGAATGTTTTGACGCATCAGAGTTTTGGGTGAACAGAAATATCTCAGCTCTCATTAAAAATGTCATGTGTCTTCCGAATGTGATCGAAAGTAATTTTCTTTTGTGGGTGAACTAACCATTTAGGGAAGGAAAGTCATTTTGAATTGTGGGATACAACAACCTTTTATGGGAACCCAAGCCTTTTATGGGAAACGTCACTGGTCATCTGGATGTTCTTCTCACACAGAAAATTGTCATGCTGTGTACAGTTCTCATTCCCATCATGCATCTTTACCGTAGCTTGAAAACCCGTTTGTTCTTCTTTGTCCTGTTCTTGTATAGGTAACCGTATAGTGATGGGGAAGAACCATGTGTTCAGGTTTAACCACCCTGAGCAGGCCCGCCTGGAGAGAGAGCGCAGTGCCACACAGGAACAGCAGGGGGAGCCAGTGGACTGGAGCTACGCACAGGAAGAACTGCTGGAGAAACAAGGCATTGACATAAAGCAGGAGATGGAGAAGAGGTAAATACACATTTAACAAATGTTCCTATATGGATGGATCTGTGTTCAGGTAAAAATATATGTGAAATGAGTATTGAAATGCATTAAAGGAATAGTTCGCTTTGAATTTAATTTTTGGTATGTTTTAGCTTACCTCAAGGGCATCCAAGATGTAGGTGTCTTTGTTTCCGCAGTATTTTCAATTTTGATATTTTTTAGGTCAAACTGTTCTTGTCTATCAGTCATATAATGGAGGTCTATGGTCACCACCTCAAAGAGCATGCACAGAGAAGTCCAAATTAAACATGATTTAATGACTCGTAAATGTAAGTACACATTGATGGCCTAAGACACGAAACGAGCGGTTTGTGTGAGAAAACGAACAGTATTTATATCGTTTTTACCTCTTGTGACTACAGCCACAAAGCGCCCGCGCCCTCAGATCACTATGGTAACAAGAGGTAAAAACGATATGAATACTGTTAGTTCTCACACAAACCGCTCGTTTCATGTCTTAGGCCATTTACGAGTCATTAAATCATGTTTAATTTGGACTTCTCTGTGCATGCTCTTTGAGGTGGTGACCATAGACCTCCATTATATGACTGATAGACAAGAACAGTTTGACCTAAAAAATATCAAAATTGAAAATACTGCGGAAACAAAGACACCTACGTCTTGGATGCCCTTGACATAAGCTAAAACATATCAAAAATTAATTTGAAAGTGAACTATCCCTTTAAGCTGCTGGTTTGTTCGGTGATCTTGTAAAACCTGGTTTTAGTGTTTTCTTTCGTTTCCTTGATATTGTTTTCTCTCTTTCAAACCCACCCTCTCTTAGACTGCAGGATCTGGAGAATCAGTACCGCAAAGAGAAGGAAGAGGCCGACCAGATACTGGAACAGCAGAGACTAGTAAGAAAAGACACTGTTTAAGATAAGAGAGACATCCAAAATGTGTAGTGATGGGGGTTCCCCAGGACCAGAGTCTCGTGATGCAGATTTAGGTCGTTTACATCTGAGCTTTTCTCTCAGTTACAAAATGAATACAACAAAAATGACATCAGTTAAGAAAGCAACTGTTCAGAGTGATGTGAACATGTGCAGTTCAGTCCTCCGGTCATGTCACGTTTATTTATATACCGCTTTATACAATAGATAGCTTAAATGCAAGCAGCTTTACAGTATTAAACTTTAAAACAGTGACAGTGTCTCTTTAAATTAGACGTAAAGGCCCTTTTCACACCGAGTCTGAAATTTTCGTATGCGTTTTTTCGTATTCGTGATTCGGTGGCTCTAAATTGTCAAAACACCATTCAAACTGCTTGCTATGGATGCGAAAAACGCAGAAAATCGGACCCGATTCGATTTATTTATTTATTTATTTATTTATTTTTTTTATGATTGACGAAAGTTTTCGGAGGCAGTGTGCAAGCGTCATTGACATAACGTGAGGTCGTATTTATTTTTTAACGTGCGCGAATTTCGGACTCTGTGTGCAATGGGCCTAAGACTTAATTTTCCACAATAAAGCGACTCTCCAGTGTGTTCATGATTTACTCATGTTTAGGGTTGGGTATCGAGAATCGAGTATCGATTGGAATCGGGACTAACTTTTCGTTTTTCCCGGAATCGTTCAAAAGTTACAATTTTGATTCCTAGTTTCGATATTCACAGTCCGCCGAGCGGAAGAAGAAAACGCTGAACAACACCAACGAAGAAGCGTCTACCGGAAGTGTTGGCATAACCGCGCGAGTCGAACATGAGTACCTTACGTCGGCGATCCAAAGTGTGGCTTCACTTTTCTAAAAATAACGAAATCTCGGCAAAATGCAAAATTTGTGACAAAAGGAGTATTTTTACAGAAGGAGTATTTCCTTCAGAAAGGCCGTTGGTTAGCTAAACTTTTTTGACCCTGCCTCTTAAAAGAATCGGAATCGAGAATCTTTAGGAACCGGAATCGAAACAAGGAATCGGAATCAGAATCGTTCAAATTCAAACGATACCCAACCCTACTCATGTCTGACCTTTTCGAACTGAACATAAGAAATGAACAATCCACAATACTGCAAAATACTTTTAAAGGGATAGTTCACCCACACTAAAATGAAAATTATGTCTGTAATTACTCGCCCTCATCTTGGTCCAATCCCGTAAGACTTTCGTTCATCTTCAGAACACAAATTAAGATATTTTTGATTACACCTGAGAGCAGGATCACTCCTCCATAGGCTTCTATTGTAATTGAAAACTGCCGGTGTTCTGTCGATTTTTGCTGCCTTGTCGAAAAATGCTACCGTAGCGCGAATTGATCACAGAAGGCCGATTAAAGTCGAATGAAATGCAATTATAATACAATTCTAAGTTATGAGTAGCTACTGTATACTGTAGACTACTGTTTTTATTTGTAAAACAGTGGGATAAGTAAAAATTATCATAAAATATTCATGTTTGACTTGTCAAAGTACACTTTTCCTCATAGTAACTGAAACTTTCAGTTATTCTTTTTCAGCTGGCTGACCGTACAAATATTCATATGGTAGTAAGCATTTTTTAAAGGGAAGTTATACATTATAACAGGAAAATGTACCTTTTGTAAAAAAATTATAATAATAATAATAATAAAAAATGTGAGTCTGCACATGCGCATAACCGGTAAGTAGCAAATCTCGATGGGTAGCATGAATCGTCAGAACACCGGACCAGAAAGTTAAAAAGTTACTAATTCAAATTACTTTGGGATTTAAAGGGATAGTACACCCAAAAATGAAATTAAAAGTTCACGTAGTGTAACACACCAGAACGTAGGCTCACTATTGGCCGACGCTGGTCATGAGTGTGATCCTGGCCAATAGTGAGCCTACGTTCTGATGTGTTACACTACGTGAACTTTTAATTTCATTTTTGGGTGAACTATCCCTCTAATCCCAAAGTAATTTGAATTCCAGATTTTTTAATGAGAACCAAGCTTGGCATCATATCATGTGTCCAGTGTGTGTGGTGTGCATAATGGCTGCCTAATGTATGCAAAGCGCTCCAATTTAGTCCGTTAAGCAGTCCCATAAAAGCTACGGTAATTGAGCTCACTAGGTTTTAGAAAGCAGCTAATGTGTCTGTCTGTCTCTGTGTGCAGTATGCAGACTCCGACAGCGGCGATGACTCCGATAAGAGGTCCTGTGAGGAGAGCTGGAGGCTCATCTCTTCTCTCAGAGAGAAACTGCCTGCTAACAAGGTCAGACACGCACCCCTGGAACACCTATACATTGACGCTGAACCCATTTGACTTATTCACTTGGTTTGTCTCTCTAACACACGCACAATCAGCCTTGTTTTGAAATTGCTTAGGTTATTGATTCATTTAAATAAGCTGCTAACCTTGGAGGATTGCCTTAAAGCGGCTTTGGGATCTCATTCATTGTCATGTGTGTTTTGTTCTCAGGAGTGTATTTGTACATTTGTACATTATAACGTATTAATTTACACATACTTTTGTCACAAAGCTTTTATATGGCTTCAGAAGACTTATTTTGAAATTTTGCACACGTCAACATGAACCACTTTTGTGAGACTTTTTATGAGACCTTTTTTAGGCATTTTTCAGTCTTCGTTCTCTGTCTTTGTGTTGTAAAGAGCGGCCAGGATATTATTAAATTCTGATTTTGTGATCCATGCTAAAAAAGCTATATGGGTTTGGAACAACATAAGAGTGAGAATATGAAAATACTTTTTTTTACATGTTATGCTCCTCAATATGCAGTATTTTGCTATATTTTTACTTTTCCAAGAAAGAGAGGAAATATTTATTAGAATTTATTTCAAATATTATGTATTACACATCTTTTTTAGTGTGTGTGTGTGTGGGAGATTTTTTTAATGAAGTGAGACCAGATTTGTTTTTTATTTTATCAAAGATTAACTTTAAAAACCTTTTTTATAAGTTTTTTTTACTTGCCTTTTATTTGTTATGTTTTCCTTTTTTGCTCGCCATGGATAGAACAGTGTTTGGTGGCATGATGTTAAATAATAAACAAATCATTGCATCTTTCTGTCATATTTCTAAAAAAAAAAATATTATCTTACACCTTGAGTGTTTTTGTGACGCGATCTTAAAGGAGTAGTATTTACTCACTCCCATGTCTTCCAAGATGTCCATGTCTTTTTTTCTTCAGTCGAAAAGAAATTAAGGTTTTTGATGAAAACATTCCAGGATTTTCTCCATATAATGGACTTCAATGGGAACCAAACGGTTCAAGGTCCAAATGAGAGTTTCAGTGCAAACCACAAACTGTTCAAAGGGCTTGAAATGATTCCAGACGATGAATAAGGGTCTTATCAAGCAAAACAATCACTCAATTAATAAATAAATAACAAAGTTTAAGTTTTATAAGCTCAAATGCTCGCCTTGCTCTGTTCTGTGATGCGCATTCGTGACTCTCCTGTTCGAACTCGTTCATCAAAATGAGCAAATCTTTTTTCGTGTCATTTGGTTGATTCAACGAACAAAACGAATGGTTTGACTCGGGAAAAGATTCGTTCATTTTGATGAACGAGTTTGAACAGGAGAGTCATGAACGCGCATCACAGTACAGAGCAAGGCGAGCATTTGAGCTTATAAAACTTAAACTTTGTTTTTTTTTTTTTTAAATGAGCGATCGTTTCGCTTGATAAGACCCTTATTCATCATCTGGAATCGTTTAAAGCCCTTTGAACAGTTTGCACTGAAACTCTCGTTTGGACCTTAAACCGTTTGGTCCCCATTGAAGTCCATTATATGGAGAAAAATCCTGGAATGTTTTCATCAAAAACCTTAATTTCTTTTCGACTGAAGAAAGAAAGACATGGACATCTTGGATGACATGGGGGTGAGTAAATTATCAGCAAAAGTTTTATTAAAAGTGAACTACTTCTTTAAGATTGAGTTTTAAAAGCTCATCTCGAGAACACTGCATTCTGATTCTGAACATTTCATTTCTGTCTCTGGCCAGGAAGTGAGTCTTCTGTTCTCACTAAATGTTTGCAGATGCAGTCTATCGTGAAGAAGTGTGGTTTGCCCAGCAGTGGGAAGAGGAGGGAGCCGCTGCGTGTGTATCAGATCCCACAGCGCCGACGCATACCCGGCTCCCAGGAGCCCAAACACAGACTCAGCCTGGAAGAGCTTCGCACACAGGCTGTTAAAGAGATCTGCTATGAGGTGCCTCATTGTGTTCCATACGTGGCTAAAAATAGTGCTCATTTATCTAGGTTAAAGGAGTAGTTCACTTTTGAAAAAACTTTTGCTGATAATTTACTCACCCCCATCATGTCATCCAAGATGTCCACGTCTTTTATTAAGGTTTTTGATGAAAACATTCCAGGATTTTTCTCCATATAATGGACTTCAATGGGGACCAAACGGTTCAAGGTCCAAAAGAGAGTTTCAGTGCAGCTTCAAAAGGCTTTAAACGACACCAGACGATGAATAAGGGTCTTATCAAGCGAAACGATCGCTCATTTAAAAAAAAACCCAACAAAGTTTAAGTTTTATAAGCTCAAACGCTCGCCTTGCTCTGTTCTGTGATGCGTGTTTGTGACTCTCCTGTTCAAAATCGTTCATCAAAATGAACAAATCTTTTTTCCAGTCATTTGGTTGATTCAACGAACGGAATGAATGAATTGACTCAGAAAAAGATTTGTTCATTTTGATGAACGAGTTCGAGTCACGAATATGCATCACAGAACAGAGCAAGGCGAGCATTTGTGCTTATAAAACTTGAACTTGTTATATATTTTTTTAAATAAGCGATAGTTTCGCTTGATAAGACCCTTATTCATCATCTGGAATCGTTTAAAGCCCTTTGAACAGTTTGCAGTTTGCACTGAATCTGTCATTTGGACCTTGAACCGTTTGGTCCCCATTGAAGTCCATTATATGGAGAAAATCCTGGAATGTTTTCATCAAAAAACCTTAATTTCTTTTCGACTGAAGAAAGAAAGACATGGACATCTTGGATGACATGGGGGTGAGTAAATTATCCGCAAAAGTTTTTTGAAAAGTGAACTACTCCTTTAATGTTCGCATGAGTGGCCGTGTAAAGTGACTTATGTTAGGCTTCTACTAGCATATTTCAAGTTTGAGGTCAATGAATGATCAGCGAACGTTGCCCAGAATATTTACCACATGGCCAGTGTTAACGATTTTGAAAATAATTCCAATATTATTGTTCCTCTGTCCCGTTTTAGTGTGTACTTTTACATTTTAAAAACTGTAATTATCGTCCTTTGTATGAATGGGTTTTTAGCACACAGAAAGCTGATTGGCTTGTCACCTGCTTATGTAAGAGTCTGCAAGACATTAATTTACATTAATAGGAGCACCTCTTTTTATTCCTCCTCTTAAGGTGGCGCTTGGAGACTTTCGGCACACACGGCAAGAGATCGAGGCCTTGGCCATTGTCAGGATGAAGGAGCTTTGTCGGACATACGGGCAAAAAGACCCTCAGGAGCGAGAGACTTGGAAAAGTGTGGCGAAGGACGTATGCGAGACTGTGGGCATCGGAGAAGAGGAGGGAGACCGGGAGGAAAGAACAACAGCAGGAGGAGGAGGGAACGAGGGAGGAAAGACCGATATGGGAGATCTCAAGGCTCATATTGACAAGTTGACTGATATACTGCAGGAAGTGAAGATACAGAATAATATGAAGGATGAGGAGATACGATCGCTAAGGGATCGCATGGTGAAGATGGAGAAAATATTCCCTGTCGAAGTTCAGGTAACGCTTGTATATCTACTGTAGAATCGGCCACACTTCTTCTCCCCGGTCCACTTTATAACTGTATGATGCAAACGAAACTGGCTAAAAATCTGATAGACTCGCCATACGCAACTTCCAGGTGTCGGTGCAACGTTTGTGCTTAAGTTGTGCTTAAAAATATATGTTATTTATTAATTGAATTAAAATATTGATGTGTTAATTTGGCATTCATTATTTTCGATAAACCTGTCCCGAAACGGCACTTCAAAACAAACTGCAATTAAGCATTGAAGAAGGATATACAAATCATATACTTGTATTAAAGGAGTAGTTCACTTTTAAAAAAAGTTTTGCTGATAATTTACTCACCCCCATGTCATCCAAGATGTCCATGTCTGTCTTTCTTCAGTCGAAAAGAAATTAAGGTTTTTGATGAAAACATTCCAGGATTTTCTCCATATAATGGACTTCATTGGGAACCAAACGGTTCAAGGTCCAAATGAGAGTTTCAGTGCAGCTTCAAACGAGTCCAGTCGATGAATGAATAAGGGTATTATCAAGTGAAACGATCGCTCATTTAAAAAATAAATAAAAAGTTTAAGTTGTATAAGCACAAATGCTCGCTTTGCTCTGTTCAGTGATGCGCGTTTTTGACTCTCCTGTTCGAACTTGTTCATCAAAATGAGCGAATCTTTTTTCGAGTAATTTCGTTCATTTTGTTCGTTGAATCAACCAAATGACTCGAAAAAAGATTCGTTCATTTTGATAAACGAGTTCGAACAGGAGAGTCACGAATGCGCATCACTGAACAGAGCAAGGCGAGCATTTGTGCTCATAAAACTCAAACTTTTTATTTATTTTTTAAATGAGCGATCGTTTCGCTTGATAAGAGCCTTATTCATCGTCTGGACTCGTTTGAAGCTGTACTGAAAGTGTAATTTGGACCTTGAACCGTTTGGTTCCCATTGAAGTCCATTATATGGAGAAAAATCCTGGAATGTTTTCATCAAAAACCTTCATTTCTTTTCGACTGAAGAAAGAAAGACATGGACATCTTGGATGACATGGGGGTGAGTAAATTATCAGCAAAAGTTTTTTTTTTAAAAGTGAACTCCTTTAAAGGTGTGACATCATGTAGTGGTCAACCAATATATTGTCAAGGCCAATAAATCAGCCGATATTTCATTTTATTTTTTTAATGCTTCGCACAAGTGGGACTTTTATTTTGGTTTAATCCCTTCTTTCACTGACATTACCATCTCGATTTCGAAATAGTGAGAAACAATGTTTTTCATAATGTACTTGAGTAAAATTAAGATATTATGCTTTGGAACGTAATGAAGTAAAGTATTATTTCCAAACACATAAAGTAGAGTTAGAAGCAACAAGGTAAAAACACTAATCACTCTGTGTACCTTAAAATCCAATGTCAAGATTCTCTTGGTATTTTTTGTATTTCAGGGAGACGATGAGGACGTTGAAATTGACGGGGCCAGAGATGATAAACCGGCAGCACAAGTCCACCGACGCGATGAGGATTCTGGGTACCGGCGGGGTCGTCATCGTTGGCAGTACCCGGAGAAGTACCACGACCCTAAACGCCGCAGAGGAACCAACAATCAGCCGAACAGCGTCCTCTACACCGCTCCCTCGGGACACTCTCAGAACAACCCGTTTAGTACAGCATCATCTCGGTTCTCAAATCCATCCTTCAATCCTCAAAGCTCTCGCAACCCCAACGGGCCTTTCATGCCAGGCACCGGACGCTTTTTGCCGCCTCAAGAGAGAAAGCTACAGTTCCCGTTTAAGAATAATCCCCAGCACAGAGGCTTCTTCTGGGGACCGTCTGCACACCAAGAAGGTGGACAGGACCCATCGGCTCAGTCTACCACTGATTTGGTTCATACCTTCCAATCTTCTCCCGTACCAAACAAGGGCCAATGGCAACACAATCATCATCAACAACAACGGCGCAATCAGGGGAACTGGGGTAACAGGCAACGGCCACGAAACAGGGGACGCAATCCATTCGATGGATATTTAACCAACGAGCAGGCTGGGAACGCTGAGCGGAGAGACGGTGGGCAGCACAAGCAAGGTAGAGCACGTTACACCTGGTACAATCCCAATTTTGCTTCAGATCAGTCTGTTGGAGATGGATTCCAGCACTATAACTACAACCAAAGCAGACAAGGTCTTTACAAACACCCCAACCACTACCAGCACCCTCATACGCAGGACAACCCTCCAGAGATGACCCGATTTAGGTCTGAAGCCAATCCCAATCCACCTTCTGTCCCAGATTACAACAACACCCCCATGGAGACCTGATTACATCTGATCTTGCGCGTTGTTCTCGGAAAGGAAACCTCGGGACCCTCAGATACAGTGTTGTGGTTTGTTGTGGGAGGGTTTTAGATGATGAAATGTGCAATAACAATGCTGTACGAAAGAAGACGAAACATTTTATGCACCAGAATTTTTATGTACATATTGCAGTTTCGACATGTGCGCACATATCTATATGTTATTCCGATGTATATATATAAAAGTAGGTTATCAATTGAAAGCATACGTATTTGCAAGAGAATTGAGGTTCTTATGTCGCACAATGCACTGCAACGTTGATATTATGCGATGGTTGAATGAAGATATTTGGAGAGTTTTGTTGGAAATCTAATGATTTTTACATTGTGCCTTCTTGAAAAGCCAAAGAATTTGGTGATTTATTAGCCTCATAACCTTTTTTTAAAGTTGCTGTTTTTCCTCCTTTTTTATCTTGCTGTTCATTTATGTCCTTTTATTCTTGCATCCTGAGGGGCATGTGTTTTAGAAATTGTCTTCTGTTGTTAGGGGATAAAAAGACATGGGATACATAATCCTAAAACTGTTAAAGAAGTTCACTTTTTAAAAAAAACCTTTGCTGATAATTTACTCACCCCCATGTCATCCAAGATGTCCATGTCTTTCTTTCTTCAGTCGAAAAGAAATTAAGGTTTTTGATGAAAACATTCCAGGATTTTCTCCATATAATGGACTTCAATGGGAACCAAACGGTTCAAGGTCCAAATGAGAGTTTCAGTGCAAACTGTTCAAAGGGCTTTAAATGATTCCAGATGATGAATAAGGGTCTTATCAAGCGAAATGATCGCTCATTTCAAAAATAAATAACAAAGTTAAAGTTTTATTTGCTCAAATGCGATGAGCTTATGTGATGAGCGTTCGTGACTCTCCTGTTCAAACTCGTTCATCAAAATGAACGAATCTTTTTTCGAGTCATGACTCGAAGGGACTAGATAAGACCCTTATTCATCGTCTGGTTGTTGTTTAAAGCCTTTTGAAGCTGCACTAAAACTGTCTTTGGACCTTGAACCGTTTGGTTCCCATTGAAGTCCATTATATGGAGAAAAATCCTGGAATGTTTTCACCAAAAACCTTAATTTCTTTTCGACTGAAGAAAGAAAGACTTGGACATCTTGGATGACATGGGGGTGAGTAAATTATCAGCAAAAGTCTTTTTTTAAAAAAAATTTTAGTGAACTTCTCTTTAAGTGCTAACAATTAGGTTTGTTCTTTTTGTTACCTTGCCCTAATCGGGCGCATCCTGATAAAAAAGGCGCATCTCTTCTCTGTTCAGGTGCAATCACACTGACAACACTTTGCTGCAGCGAAGTGACAAAGCAATTCATTTTCAATGAGAGTTGGCAGCAAACATCTTAAGCGGAGTTCAAATCCCGCAGCTGTATACTAAAAACAAACGATCTGATGCGCTATTATATTTATCGTTTCACGCATCATTTAACGTACAGGGAAAAAATATTTGATGTTTGATTCTTATTTTTGGCCAGAATAAGCTACAGAGTGGACATGCCAATAGTCAAATGTCTGACTCTGTGACACTAGCCAAATACTGCATCTTTTCAATGGATTGTACTGTTGTTCAATAAGGTGCTGATGAAATATCTTTCCAAAAGACTTTCAGTAGACGACACCTTTAGCTTAGGGTCTAATTCTCACTATTAACTATGACTTTTGCCTTCATTAACTCCTAAATACTGCTTATTAATAGGTGGTTATTAAGTTTAGGTATTGGGTATAATGCATGCTAATAGTGAGAATTGGACGCTAAACTGAAGTGTTGCCGATTTTTTTAGTTTTTTAAAGTGACTTTTATACAGCCTAACTATCTTTCAGCCTTGTTTTCATCCATGTTAAATTCAATATGGTGTCTACCCTGACTGATGTCTGTTCTCAGACAGTTGATTGAAAAATAAATCATGGGCAACAACCACTGAAATCTTGCTGTATTCTTGTCGCACCTGGTTCTCCTATTTTCAACGTTTTTAAGTTCTCAATTGAAAATAATATACAAATGGGGAAAAAATGTGTTACTTTAATTGTTCCAGTTGATGTATTTATTTAAAAAAAGCACAATAAATAGTTTGTGTATAGTTTCCAAAATACAGTACAGACAAATATGTTAGTAGTTGATATTTTCTGCATACTTTCCTTTAAATAAAATAAACGCACAACAAAAATAAGTGGCGAGAACTGCAGTTAAAGGTGCAATGTGAGTGTTTAGTAACTAGGGTTGTGAAACGATTAATCGCATCCAAAATAAAAGTTTGTGTTTACATAATATATGTGGGGGAACTGTGTATAATTATTTTGTATAAATAAATACACACACATACATGTATATATTTTAGAAAAATGTGTCATTTATACATATATATATATATATATATATATATATATATATTATATATACATTATATATATATATATATATATATAAGTAAGCAAACATTTCTTAAATATTTTCACGCATGTGTGTGTGTGCATTTATATTTGTAAAATGATTAAACACAGTACACATACATTTATTTTGTAAACACAAACTTTTATTTTGGATGCGATTAATCGTTTCACAGCCCTATGAACAGAAATGCAGTATGACATCCATAACTATGTTTTCAGTGGTGTATAAAGAACATAATAAAAAAAAAACGTAATTTTTTTATTACCGGCTTAGAATGAGACATTTATATAATCTCCATAACCGCGGGCACCCGCTTCTACCTAGGTCGCCATATTGTGGCGTCATATGTTTCTACCGTAGCCGAACGCGAACACACAGCGCTACAGAGCTTTTCATCACTACCTTGAAAGAGAAGTAGCAGAAAGCTGGAAGCCATAAACACCGTGAGTAGTGACTTTTCCCTTGTCAGTAGTGTAAAATATGTAGTTGGGTTGTTTCATGTAACTTAGTTCTCCCTCACCAGATAAAGGTCCGTGTTGCATTTTAACCCCGCGTTAGGTTGTGCCCCGCGCTCCCCTACTCTTTTTCCTTGTTACCTGAACCGAGAAATTACTGTTTATTTGTCAGCAAAATTTTGACAACTCCAGCTTTCTTGAAAACTAGACTGTCCTTCCGCATTTGTCAATGGGACCAACCTGTAAAAGCATGAATTTATGCTGTGAAAACGGACATTTTAACATGGGATCTATGGATATTTGGGACCTCCCTCTAGCGGATTTTAGATGCATTGCAGTTTTTCGCACTTCGGGTAGGCTTAATTTTTCAGATTAGAATGTTGCCGCTTGATTAGCCTACAGATGAGCTAAGAATGCTATTGCCATAGTGTTCCATTTTTACCATAAAGAGTATATTTACGTTACATACATTTTACATATTTTAAAGAGTAGCCAAAGTATGAAGCAATTTTAAATTATAAACCTTACAATAACTGTTTTGTTAACAACCCTCTGTCGATCCGACTGTCTATAGAAAAGAGGTACAAAAATGCGGAAGGACAGTCTAGTTTTCAAGAAAGCTGGAGCTGTCAAAAGTTTTGCTGACAAACAGTAATTTCTCGGTTCAGGGAACACGGAAAAAGAGCAAAGGTTAATTTAGCTACATATCGCTACTGTAATATATGATGGCTGCCAATCTGAACACACAACCAGAGGACTCCCACTCTATAGAGCTAAAGCTCAAGAAACTGTTCATTAATAAAGCAACGGGCCGCCGTGACCTTCATTTTAGAATTAATTATAAATTATGCATTATTCACGTTAATTATGAACATGTATATGGTAGTTCTTAGTAGTCTGGGAGATAAATAGTATGCTTAGTAGTTAGCTAATAGTGACTTACGGTATTCAAATGAGCGCTGTTACTTACTAAGCCGTTAATCGGAATTTCTTGTTAGTTATTAGTTGAATGTTAATATTGCGTTACATTAGTTCCTTTATTGTTATTTATTAATGATGGAAGAGTATTTTTAAGTGTATAATGCATACTAATGCACATACATAGAACCATAATAATCTGTAGGCCTAATTTATATATTTAGGTGATTTTTGATTGTCTAAAGCTGCGTGAGTGTGTCTGTACTGTATATGTACTGTAGCGTATTATGCACATTCAGCACTGGTGCAATGATCATAACAACTGACTCTCATGGGACATGAGGCACATATTTTACACCAAACTCAGCACACATTCATCTACACACTCTCTGCTTCTGCATGGCTATTTTCAACCCTTTGCGAAAGAACTGGGTCATATGTGTCATCTGGGGCAGGCTAAATATTCACTGAGATACACTCACCTAAAGGATTATTAGGAACATCATACTAATACTGTGTTTGACCCCCTTTCGCCTTAATTCTACGTGGCATTGATTCAACAAGGTGCTGAAAGCATTCTTTACAAATGTTGGCCCATATTGATAGGATAGCATCTTGCAGTTGATGGAGATTTGTGGGATGCACATCCAGTTCCACCACATCCCAAAGATGCTCTATTGGGTTGAGATCTGGTGACTGTGGGGCCATTTTAGTTCAGTCAACTCATTGACATGGTCAAGAAACTGCATTATCCTGCAGCATTATCCTGCTGGAAGTAGCCATCAGAGGATGGGGACATGGTGGCCATAAAGGGATGGACATGGTCAGAAACAATGCTCAGGTAGGCCGTGGCATTTAAACGATGCCCAATTGGCACTAAGGGGCCTAAAGTGTGCCAAGAAAACATCCCCCACACCATTACACCACCACCACCAGCCTGCACAGTGGTAACAAGGCATGATGGATCCATGTTCTCATTCTGTTTACGCCAAATTCTGACTCTACCATCTGAATGTCTCACCAGAAATTGAGACTCATCAGACCAGGCAACATTTTCTTCAATTTTGGTGAGCTCTTGCAAATTGTCGCCTTTTTTTCCTATTTGTAGTGGAGATGAGTGGTACCCGGTGGGGTCTTCTGCTGTTGTAGCCCATCCGCCTCAAGGTTGTGTGTGTTGTGGCTTCACAAATGCTTTGCTGCATACCTCGGTTGTAACGAGTGGTTATTTCAGTCAAAGTTGCTCTTCTATCAGCTTGAATCAGTCGGCCCATTCTCCTCTGACCTCTAGCATCAACAAGGCATTTTGGCCCACAGGACTGCCGCATACTGGATGATTTTCCCTTTTCACACCATTCTTTGTAAACCCTAGAAATGGTTGTGTGTGAAAATCCCAGTAACTGAGCAGATTGTGAAATACTCAGACACCAACAACCATGCCACGCTCAAAATTGCTTAAATCACCTTTCTTTCCCATTCTGACATTCAGTTTGGAGTTCAGGAGATTGTCTTGACCCCTAAATCCATTGAAGCAACTGCCATGTGATTGGTTGATTGGATAATTGCAGGTGAGTTAGGGGTGTGCATTGGCACTGCCCTCACAATTCAATTCAATTACGATTCACCAGGTAACAATTCGATTCGATTCTCCAATGCATTGCGATGCATCAAAATTCTACTGCACACAAAGACAAATTTTCATCAGCTGGGATGTGTCGACTTTTTGTGTTGTTGTTGAAGCCAACTCAGAATGCGAACTATCAACATGGTTCGTGACGTTAGTTGTATTGCCAACGTGTTTGATTTTAGTGTGGCAGGTTTTACACACCGCGTAAGTCTTATCTAGTTTCCCATGAAATGTGTCTTTCAAATCTTTATTTTTGTTGTTTTGCTCCTGGAAGTAATTTAAACTTCAAAACTGTATTTTCCAAGGCCAGAAAATAAACAGTGACATAATCGATTATGGCACTTTGCCGCATCGATGCTGAATCGTGCATTTCCCGCATTGCGATGCATTGCAGAATCGATTATTGTTGACACCACTAAGGTGAGTGCATTTCTGCTACTTGTTGCACAATGATGGATTTGAAAAGGCTTTTTTTCCTGCTACGATCCTGATGACGCTCTCTGATATAAAAGATATTTACATACTATACTGTATATTCAACAAGACAAAATAACATTTTATAATATATGTAAACATGCAGGTTTTTTGAATCCCTCATGAAACAATAATAAAGATGGATGTAATTTCTGCAGGGGTTTGTAAACGTTTAAGCAAAGATGTCTCTGAATACTGTTGAATTCGGTCTATGTCTAATGTGTTAGAGGTTCAAGTATGGAGTTGTGTATTTGTTCCATCAGATAAAATCAGATTTTTTTTTTTTTTTCAATTTTTATGGAAGCTTGTTTCCGCCACAGAATAAAAAAATATATAAAATCTTAAATGGTTTTATTCAGTGGAAGAGACAAGCTTCGGTAACACTTAGACTGACATGACACCTTCATAACCATGACATGACATATGTCAGACATCTCAAACAATGTCATATTTGCATTAAAAATGTCATTATTGAGCGAAAGACACTTAATGACAGTTGTCACAAACATGCATACTTCATATTCAAAACATATGTCATGTCATGATTATGAAGGTGTCATGTCAGTCTTAAGCACACCACCAAATTATTTTCTGATTGAGATTGGCACAAAAAGTCTTCCCTTATTTCTGGATTATGGGATGAAATTTATCTATAACATGTGTTGGGCAGTTTTTGCAAGATTCAGTCAGCCAGAGAATATCCTGTATGTCCAATCACTTGGCTTTCTTCAAATGACATTTTACATGTGAATCTAAAACGACAGTGTGCTTTAATTATATTAGTATTGTGTGCTGTGAATTTGTCCTGTTGGATGACATTCACAACATACTTCAACGTGTGTGTGTTTCATGCAATGTGATTTTCATGACATAAATGACAACTGTGACAATAGTTTTCTCCACACATTTTAAAGGCAAGCAAGATACATTCAGTACAGGGCATGTTTCTTGTTTGTTTGTTGTTGTTTTTTGTTCTTTTTTCATTTTTTCTCGTTGCATGACAAATTTAACATATTCAGGCAAAATTACCATATGAGGGAGTGCACTAAATGTATATATACATTAGTTCAGGTTAACTAATGATTATGCATGTTGATTTAAAAAGATCAATCATTTCGATGCCTTTCCATCTTGCCAAAAAATGTTTCAGGAACCAACTCAGGTGCAGAACTTACAGAAGTCATTGAGCACGATAAATACAGAGACACGTTAGAAACAACCAAAGCTGAATACAGAAGTGAACTTGGATTAGCACTAACCCCATTCAGAAGTGACCCAGGACCAGCTTGACCTTCACAGAGTAAAGCTGCGTTCACAATACCAGCGACAGAATCACATACATTTTTCATTTTTTGGGCGACACATTTCTTCGTAAGCGTGTCCAGCGATGCGAAGTTGAGATATGGTCTGAAACACTTTTAGGACCAAAACCTGAAACGGGTTAGCAATTTAGCATTTCCATTGTCCTGAAGTAAATGTTTGGTTAAATGGCTGAAATAAGGTCAGCGGTGAACACAAGTTTAAGACACTTTCATGTTTTATTCTACGACATAAATCACATCAATATTACCCCACTCGTCATTTTTTTTTAACTGTTACTTGTCTTGAAAAAGATGGTTGTGGAGGAGATTAAACGTCATAGTGCTGTCTGACTGTCTGCCTGAAAAGATCTGAATATAAAGCATATAAAGCAGTCTGAATATCTGAATATAGCCGCTGGCAGTGTGAACGCAGCGTAAAGCTGAATAAGTGGCAGAAAGCTCTTTGAGCCTTTTTTTTGTTTGTTTTACGGAAAGCAGCACGTACAGCTTTCCATTAAAATTTCAAACAACAGAAAAATAAAAAAAACAAAATTCTTAAGTGTAACTAATACAGAATCTCGGTAGCTTGCGGGTCTGGTTCCTCAAATGCAAAACTGATCTCAGTTCAATATAAAGGGTCTCTGTTTGGGCTGAACTAAATGTCTTTGTCTTTTTGTTTTGACTGGGTGCTATGGAAGCTTGTTTCTGCCACGGAATAAATAAATAATAAAGGTAATTACGACTTTTAACTCACAATTCTAACTTTCTCAAAATTCTCAAGCCAGAATTGTGTTAAAAGCTCGCAATTGCAAGGGAAAAGTCTGAACGGTGTAAAAAAGTTGCAGGCAACTTTTGAAAATGTGAATTTGTTTCACAATTTTTTATTTTGTAGCAGAAACAGGCTTCCATGGGGTCCGGCAGCATGTTGTCAATTACAACACAGAAAATAGTTTGCGCTTATGATTTAGTTTGCATTTTGTGTTTTACAGTAATGCTCTCACAATAGTGGAAGTGAATGGGGAATGGTATTGTACTATGGTAAATGTTAAAATACATACCATTTTGAAAGTGTAATGACAAGACTAGCCAAAACTAATGTGAGAAATCACTTCTCTTGGCAAAGTCTGATTTTTCGAGATGGAAAATCATCCTCACTGCAGAACACGAAATCCAGGGGGAAGAGTTGGATCCAGATCCAACTCCTCCCACCTTACATATACCTTACACATACATATACCTCACATATACCTTAACCTATCCATCTCCGCCCCTTGATCCCTAAACCAACCCTTAATCCTACCCATCTCCGCCCCCTGATCCCTAACCCCACCCTTAATCCTACCCATCTCCACCCCCTGATCCCTAACTCCACCCTTAATCTACCCATCTCCACCCCTGATCCCTAACCCCAACCTTAATCCTACCCATCTCCGCCCCCTGATCCCTAACCCCACCCTTAATCCTACCCATCTCCGCCCCTTGATCCCTAACCCCATCCCTAATCCTACCCATCTCTGCCTCCTGATCCCTAAACCCCACCCTTAATCCTACCCATCTCCGCCCCCTGACCCGAACCCCACCCTAATCCTACCCATCTCCGCCCCCTGATCCCTAACCCCACCCCTAATCCTACCCATCTCCGCCCCCTGATCCCTAACCCCATCCCTAATCCTACCCATCTCTGCCCCCTAATCCCTAACCCCACCCCTAATCCTACCCATTTCTGCCCCTAACCCCACCCCTAATCCTACCCATCTCCGCCCCCTGATCCCTAACCCCACCCTTAATCCTACCCATCTCCACCCCCTGATCCCTAACCCCACCCCTAATCCTACCCATCTCTGCCCCCTGATCCCTAACCCCACCCCTAATCCTACCCATTTCTGCACCCTAACCCCACCCCTAATCCTACCCATCTCCGCCCCCTAATCCTACCCATTTCTGCACCCTAACCCCACCCCTAATCCTACCCATCTCTGCCCCCTGATCCCTAACCCCACCCTTAATCCTACCCATCTCCACCCCCTGATCCCTAACCCCACCCCTAATCCTACCCATCTCTGCCCCCTGATCCCTAACCCCACCCCTAATTCTACCCATCTCCGCCCCCTGATCCCTAACCCCACCCCTAATTCTACCCATCTCCGCCCCCTGATCCCTAACCCCACCCCTAATCCTACCCATCTCCACCCCTTAGATCTGGATCCAACTCCGCCCCCTGGGTCTTGTGTACTGCAAAGAGGAGCTACTGGATTTTTCAGCTGAGCTTCACATTTTAGCTTCAAACCTTGTGGCGCATTTGCCCCCAGATGTCATTTCAAATGCATTACTGTAAAGAACATATTTATTTTTACAAGCTGAGATCGGTCCAAATGATTTCCTGTGGAAACTGACAGCATACCATGCGACAAGTTTTGGGTTTAGGAATCATTTTGGTTCTGAGACACTGCACATTGTGATATTCGGTAATGACTTATGGGAAATTAACAATAGATATTTAATCTAGCAAATCTGTGTCTTTCTCTCTGAAATAATGGAATGACACAAACACATTAAAAGTGAAGCGCTTCGCTTTTCATTGTCACTGACGCAGCTTGTATTTGTCAAACACACAAAGCAATACTAGCACAGTTCTCTGGTCATGTTAACCTATGACCCTTCATGACTACTTGTGAACTATGATCTTAAATTATGAATCTGTCCACTTAGTGCAAAGGATGCTGACCGCTCAAGCCAAGCCCCACACATATGATGCCTTGCAAAAGTATTCAGACCAGGAACCAAGTTTTAAATTATGATGAATTACAAATCGTGCATAAAAGGTGATGTATCTTCACCACCAAACAGAGAAACAGATTTACAAAATTAACAGTCGCCGCTATATCCAGCCCAGTCATTCCCAAACATGTATATGAGTGAAATGAAATGAGAATAAAAAATGTTGTAGGATGGTGTGGTTTGCTATTGGTGGATCTCATGTGAGTGACAGGTAGCCCCGCCCTCGAGCCAGTAAACACTAGAGAATGTTACTACTTTCTTTTTTTCAGACTTTAACAGTGTTAACACTCAAATGAAGATTTTTTTAGATTTTCAAACTAGAGTAGGCAAATGTTGTTCGTATACTGTTGCTACAACCCATTCTCATGGCAGTTTATAACTTTTTTTGGCAAATTCTTATTAATTCTTTCATGTTTTCATACGATCTGCTTACGCCCCACTGATGGTTAGGTTTAGGGGTGGGGTGGTGTTAGGCATCATGCTTATGTTTTTTTTCTAAAAAATACATGGCAATAGCAATAATACTGACTCAAAGACTTGTTTTTAAACAAGTGAATTGGTAAAGGTCTAAATATGTTTGCAAGGTACCGTATACACACTCGCACGCCCCTCCCATAACTGCACGGATTCTCTTAAAGGGACAGGTGCACTGTTGTAAACACAAGGAGAGATGGAAAGGAAGGGAAATGGAGGAAGACTTGTGATGTGTCCAAACAGCTGTTTGCAGTTTCTGCATGTTGTTCCCGTCACACGCCGGAGTCTTTGCCACGCTCTCCTGCACCGCGAGAATGAAATGTGACAGGCAGCGAACAACGCCCCAACACACGGGGACAGGCACCTCAGAAACTGCTTCGCTCGTGTCAAGTCCATTTTTACAAGTCACTCGGGTGCAACACCAGCAACCGAGAGTTGGAATCGAAAGAGTCACTGCATGCATACACACAAACACTCGCTCATACTTTCTTGAACACACATCCGCACATCCATGCCCACGCGGAATCTGCGCAGAGTTCGGCAGGATTCAGAAACTGCTACACTTCGTTCGCCCCGCACATCTTGGTTTAATAAATATTTGATAAAGTTTCCAGCTGCCAATAATAATGTAGCACTCTTAGCTTCCTTTAACTCATTTCATCACGTTTGATCCATTGCGCAGAATTCCGTAGAGGAAACAGTGGAATTCTGCAGTGGAAAATGGAATTCTGTTGTGGAAACTGGAATTCTGTTGTGGAAACAGTGGAATTCTGCCAGGGAAACTGGAATTCCGTAGTGGAAACTGGAATTCTGTTGTGGAAACAGTCGAATTCTGCAGTGGAAACTGGAATTCTGTTGTGGAAACAGTCGAATTCTGCAGTGGAAACTGGAATTCTGTTGTGGAAACAGTGGAATTCTGCAGTGGAAACTGGAATTCTGTAGTGGAAACTAGAATTCCGTAGTGGAAACTAGAATTCCGTAGTGAAAACAGTGGATTTCTGCAGTGGAAACTGGAATTCCGTAGTGGAAACAGTGGAATTCGATAGTGGAAACTGGAATTCCGTAGTGGAAACAGTGGAATTCTGCAGTGGAAACTGGTATTCCGTAGTGGAAACAGTGGAATTCTGCAGTGGAAACTGGAATTCCGTAGTGGAAATAGTGGAATTCTGCAGTGGAAACTGGAATTCTGTAGTGGAAACAGTGGAATTCTGCAGTGGAAACTGGAATTCTGTAGTGGAAACAGTGGAATTCTGCAGTGGAAACTGGAATTCCGTAGTGGAAACAGTGGAATTCTGCAGTGGAAACTGGAATTCTGTAGTGGAAACAGTGGAATTCCCTAGTGGAAACAATGGAATTATGTAGTGGAAACTAGAATTCCGTAGTGGAAACTAGAATTCCGTAGTGAAAACAGTGGATTTCTGCAGTGGAAACTGGAATTCCGTAGTGGAAACAGTGGAATTCTGTAGTGGAAGCTGGAATTCCGTAGTGGAAACAATGGAATTCTGTAGTGGAAACAGGAATTTTGTAGTGGAAACAGTGGAATTCTGCAGTGGAAACTGGAATTCTGTAGTGGAAGCAGTGGAAACTGGAATTCCGTAGTGGAAACAATGGAATTCTGTAGTGGAAACTGGAATTCCGTAGTGGAAACAGTGGAATTCTGCAGTGGAAACTGGAATTCTGTAGTGGAAGCAGTGGAAACTGGAATTCCGTAGTGGAAACAGTGGAATTCTGCTGTGGAAACTGCAAGAAAGTTCCGGTTCCGTCTGGGCCTGCTGAAAAAGAAGATTTGTGACACTCTCATTCACCTCCTTCAATCGGCATTACTTCCTCCTGGGAGACTGAAACTTTAGTCTCTCCGAATAAGGAAATGGAAAAGTTGTTGTTCGTGGCGTTTCTTTGATGACAGCCGTGTCCATGTTTAATTGGTAGGTTATGTTGGGATATTTGAGTAGGGTTCGAGAGAGCGGTGTGGTATCGGAAGCATGTTGCAGAAGGCATGCAGGTGTTGTAATATACGGGAGAGCAGAAAAGCAATGGTACGCCATGTTGCGTATTTTCCACCTTGCTTGCTTTGTCTTTTCAGACTGCACATGTTCATGTCATCTCTCTAGTTCCCTCACGCACGTGACTCTTTCTTGGAGTGAGGTTTGTTGCCCAGGAGAGCATCCATCTCGCTCACAGTCTGAGGCGTCATTTGAGACAGCACCTGAAGAGAATATGAAAATAATGTTATGAAGGCTGAGTCTCATTGATCAAAAGTGTCAGTAAAAACATTCTATTTTAAATCAAAGCTGTTCTTTTGAACCCTCCAATCAGTCATCGAGGAAATGTATAATCACAGTTTCCACAGAAATATCAGGCAACAATAATATTTTCAACATGGGTAATGATAAGAAATGCTTCTTGAAGATCATATCAGAATATTAGAACCCTTGTGAAAGAACACTTTAGCACTTTATTTATTCATGTAAATAATATATTTCAAAAGAATATACTCAAGTTTGAATTTAATGTAACGCCTTCTGACTCTAAATTGCATGTTATTTACAATTAAATGAAAATATATTATAGTTTCCATTTATATTAAATGCGATTAGTTGAACTTAAGAGTGTTTTAACCCACTTTAGCACAGCTTCAGTATGTCAACACACTCATAATTGTCTTTGAATATGGTTAAAGTGTACTGATAAACATTCATGATAAACCAAAATATACTTTAATCTATTGAAACTTGAATGTCATGTATTTAAATTTATTTGTAATTACACATTTACATATAAGGTTGCAATTTAAAAAATATTTACAAATAACACATTACAGTTAAAATCTTAATCCAGTACTTTACATGTGCTTTATTTAGTATGTTCGTTGACACGTCAAAATAAGTGTACTTCTTTAAAGCACCACAAAATACTTTTAATTTAACGTTATTATAAAACTGTAATTAAGTGTGTTAATAAACATAGAGTAGTCATGAATGTGAACTTTCTTTACGTACACTTAAAAGGACTTTTATTTAATCAATATTATATCACCTGGCTGCAAATAAGTATAGTTTTTTTTACATTTTTATTTACTTTTAAGTAGGGCCGTCAAACGATTAATCGATATTAATCGCATCCAAAATAATAAATAAAAGTAATAAATAATAAAAGTTTGTATTTACATAATATATGTGGGTGCACTGTGTATAATTATTTTGTATATATAAATACACACACATGCATGTATATTTAAGAAAAAAAAATATTTCTATATAAAATATTTATATATAATATAAATTATGAAAATATTTCTTAAATATATACAAGCATGTGTGTGTATTTATATATATACAAAATAATTATACACAGTGCACCCACATATATTATGTAAACACAAACTTTTATTTTGGATGCGATTAATCGCGATTAATCGTTTGACAGCCCTACTTTTAAGATTTAAAGTGCACTATGAGTACTAAGCACACTTCTTTTTTCACAAGGGAATGATTTCTGAAGGATCATTTAATGAAGGAAGAGTAATTACAATTATACTGTAAACATTCCTTCCTTGACCTTCTTTCAAAAAACATTTTAGCGGTTTACCTTTGAGCGGTTGTGTGTGTGTGTGTTTATTACCCGCATGGCTCCGAGGTTCTCAATAAGCTGGTCTGTATTGGAGACACCAAGAAGTACAGAACTAACCCCTTCACTGCGCAAACACCATGCTGAGTGAGAGATTTCACAATATATAAACCGTTAATAAACAAACCGCTAAATGACCGCCCGATGCAAATTGCGTGTAAAAATGGCAAGCACTTTCTCCGTCTGGCATGCTCCAATATTGACTCTACACAACTTAGCACATATACGTGGATGATTATTGGCCCTGAAAGTCGATCAGACCATTAGCACCAATAGTCAAAATCCAGGCTGAGCCGTGAGACACTCACCAATGGCGAGTTGAGCAGCCGTGCAGCCCAGCCTGTCAGCCACCAGGTGGAGCTCTTTGATTTTTGCAAGCTGTCTGCGCCCTTCTTCACTGTACACTCGCTCCTTCAGCCACTGGTAACCCTAATACACAATCAAACATTGAGACCATTAAGTACAGGGATATAACATCATTAGATGACAAAATATCAAATCAAATGAGGATGAGAAATTGAAAAGAGGAAGCTACTGCTGACAAACTCTCCACGACTCACTTTCATAGAGGCTCTTGAACAGTCTGGAACGCCATCGCTGTATTTTCCTGTGATCAGCCCACATGCGAGAGGAGACCAGGTCATCGCTCCAACGCCTGACATGACATGTGACAGTCACAAGAGTTGACATCTGTTCCAATTAAACCTCAAATCCAACAATTAAAAATCATGAAATGAAGTAATTATTTAAAAAATGCTCATAATTTAAGAAGTTGGACGTCACAAAACTCAACGACTTCTTCAGTACATTTGTCATTCAGGTATTTTCATGCTGGAACGTGGGGTTAGTGTCATTAAACAGCCCTTGCCGGTAGATTATGTACTAACAAAATATATTTTTATAGCGTAAAACGTTTAAAAAACAAAAAAATATTACATTACATCATGGTTGATGCTTCATCCGTGATTGAGCTCTTAATAGCATGAAAAAGACTTAAAGGGGTGGTTCAGGATTTTGGACATCGGGCCTCATTTCCAAGTTAGCCTTAGTGTTATTTATCAGTTTTAAAAAAAATTCATCCAGTCGTTCCAGTTGCATAGTTCGCCGGTGCTAGGCTAGCGCGAGTCAACGGTAACTCCACAGTTCACCAAAAGTTTGATTTTTAACATTATAATATTCTCTCAACAGACATTTAAGGCCTGTTCACACCAGGGTGAATTTCGCGTGCGTTATTCCTTGACCTTTAACGCCTCGTGACTAAACAAAGGGCGCCGATGTGATTGTTCACACATGCCACACGTAAAAGCGCCATTTTTTAAAAACACCTCGGTTTCGTTTTTTTAGTTTGACGCGCCGCATCAAAAACTATCCGACCAATGAGATTGGAGCTTTTGCTCACGTGTTTGGAGCTTCTGAAGTTACAGTAAAACACAACTTGGGGGCGCTCAAACACAAAACGGTCTTGCCGAGCACACATATGCAACGGTGAAGAAGATCTACGCCAAGTAGCGTCGCCACTTACACAGCCTGGAAGAAATAAGACGAGGAAGATGAATGTAGAGCTGCTGGTCTCGTTGGCGCTAGAACATAAAGAGCTATATGACAAACGCGACAGCGACTACAAACATCTTGATAAAAGAGAACTGATATGGAGTGGTATTGCAGAGCAAATTGGCGCCATCTAATGTCAGGGAATGAATTTGCATGTTCACTCGGCTCATCGTCAGCGAAAATCGCTCGGGTGTGAACACAAAAAACGCGTTGAAAAACGCTGACGAATAACGCGCGCTAATATAATATTACCTTTACATTTTTTTAAAGGCAGGCTAGCAGTTACCGTTGACTCGCGCTAGCCTAGCACCGGCGAACTATTGAACTGGAACGACTGGATGAACGTTTTTGAAAACTTTTTTGAAAATGTGAAAACCTTGCTCTGTTCTGTGTGACTCTCCTGTTCGAACTCGTTCGTCAAAATGAACAAATCTTTTTCCGAGTCAATTCGTTCATTTCGTTCGTTGAATCAACCAAATGACTCGAAAAAAGTTGTTCGTTTTGATGAACGAGTTTGAACAGGAGAGTCACGAACGTGCGTCACAGAACAGAGCAAGACAAGCATTTGAGCTTATAAAACTTAAACTTTGTTGTTGTTTTTTTAATGAGCGATCGTTTCGCTTGATAAGACCCTTATTCATTGTCTGGAATCGTTTAAAGCCCTTTGAACAGTTTGCAGTTTGCTCTAAAACTGTTTTTTGGTCCTTGAACCGTTTGGTTACCAGTAAAGTCCATTATATGGAGAAAAATCCTGAAATGTTTTCATCAAAATCCTTAATTTCTTTTCAACAGAAAAAAGAAAGACATGGACATTTTGGATGACATGGGGGTGAGTAAACTATCAGCAAAAGTTTTTCGTTTTGAAAAAAGTGAACTTTAATATACAGTAGAGTGATCAGTCATGAGTACGGCCCATGCCACGTTGCATACTACGCATAGCCTACAATCTGAGCAACTTCCATTTGGTTTAATGGCACATTTTTTGGTTTAATAACACATTTGGTATAATGAATGATTTGAAGGTAACTTTTGTGGACTGACCGATCTTGTGGTAGAGCTCTGGCAGCTGCACCTCCACTTTATCCCTCTGGAAATAGTGATACTCGGCCTGCTCGCATACTGGTGGGATTAAGTTAAACTGCCTCGCTACGGAGTATGCCTCCTAAACACACACACAGAAGAGAAGAAAAGGTTAGACTGTCCTTTCTGGTGCCGAGATGCTAACAACCAGTGATGTGTACAGCAGTGTTTAGAAGTCAATAAAAGACATTTAAAGATGACAAATATCAACAAAATGTAAAAAACGCATCAATTCCTTTTCCAAAAAAGTGTTACCATGCATGATTCACTATGGTAAGCTTATTACATAAGTTTTCATATCTTAGCTTTTGCGTACATGCGTCACTCGTTTTGTCATATCCGTAAATAGAGAAAAGATGCTCCGGCTACTTTAATGTGTGTGTGTTTCGTGTGAGAAAGGTTGACATGAAGTGGGTAAATCTCCCACCTCACCCGTGTTACAAAATAACAGCGAACAGAGGAAAGTCTGCCGGCAAATAGAGGACGCGACAGAGCTCGTAATAATACAACAATCAACATCGCCTTGGCTTTTCATGGATGGAAAGAACTAAGGAAATTGAAATGCGGAGATCGCTTTTGTATTACTCAACAGGCCAGTAAGGTATTTTCAGAGATGTATAAAGTACTAGAAACCCGGACTTGAGTAAATGTACAAGTGCTCTATCAAAAAAGTGACTTGAGTAGAAGTTGAAGTGCTCTTTAAGCACCACACTTAAGTAGAAGTACTAATGTATTTAACATTTTTTGTACTTAAGTATTGCAAGTAGTTTATTTTAAAATTCATTACTTAAGTAGTAAAAGTACAAGTATTGTGTCATGTAATTATTAAAGAAAGCAGTCAAAAGTTTGAACTAGCAATCAAATAAGGCACTTTGGCGGGATACAAATTTGCTTTGGCGGCCGCCAAAAAAAATGTCATTGCAGGACAACCCCTGCATTAATTGTCAATGTGTGTGTCAATCAATACCATTACCCTATACTGTAAACTGGCGTGTGATTTAGGCAGCATGAAAGCCAACTTGCAACGAATGATTCGTAAAATTTGTATAATTCTAACGAGTAACTAGCAGAACATTAAAAAACTATCGAAGTAAAAGTATTAAATTCATCGAAAATATCTAAAAGTAGAAGTATGAGAAAAAAAACAATACTCTAGTAGAGTACAGATACAGCATTTTAGTACGTACTTAAGTAGTTCTACTTCGTTACTATACATCTCTGGGTATTTTATTGAACAGATAAATTGCCATATGTATCTCTGTAACAGTTGATTGTAAAGCATCATCTATTGTGAAGAATCATTTCAATATGGTTGTTGTAACGCTGTGTGTTGTTGTAACTCAAGGAAGTAGCGTGTGTATTAATGGGTTAAACTACAGTAACGTCTTGAGATCCTTTCCATCTAAACTGGTTAAATCTCTTAAGCCTATAGTGAATGTTTTATGAGCAGTAAGATAACTACATTCATCCGCAGTCGCACAGAGCCGACACACAACCAAAACAATGTTCTTCCACAAAATGCATGCAGTTTTGTTTTTAACCACTAGAGGGCCTAAAAGTTACACAGTGTACCTTTAATCAAATTATATTTTGTGTGATAGTAGTTTATTTAGTGTCAAGTGTCAAATGACAAACAAATGTTACTTTGCTGTTAATAATCAAACACATTCTCCTACATTGTTTTGCGTTTGAAAGTCCAATGGACCCGGTAAATTGGACAGTTCAGTTAAAAAAAAATGTTTTGAGTTCCTGAATCTTCCTATTCATAGCAAAATTTTTAGTTTATATATAAATTAGGGCTGTGCAGAGATTAATTGCGATTAATCGCATCTAAAATAAAAGTTTGTGTTTACATAATATATTTTTGTGTGCTGTGTATAATTATTTTGTATATATATATATTTACATACACACACATGCATGTATATATTTAAAAAAAATGTGTTCTTCATATATATAAAAATTTATATTTATATATAATATACATCATGTGTTTAATATATATAGTATTTACGTGCAAATAATTAGTATATGCATGCATATGTATTTATATACACAAAATAATTGTACACGGCACACACAAACATATTATGTAAACACAAACTTTTATTTTGGATGCGATTAATCGCAATTAGTCTTTGCAGTGCACAGCCCTAATATAAATATGTTTGTTCAAGTTGTAGATGCATGTAATATAATTGAGAAATATAGAAATAAAATTATAAGTCAAGTCAAGTGACATTTATTTATATAGCGCTTTTTACAATAAAGATTGTATCAAAGCAGCTTCACAGTGATAACATGAAAGTAATACAACACAGATCAATAATGTTGTTGAACATTAAATGTCTCCAACTAAGCAAGCCAAAAGCAAGGCATAAACGATCTTGCTGGATAGCCTTATATTTTAAATGCCATTATGCCCTTGGGTGTTGGTGGCTTGTAGTGTAACAAGCTTTCTTTTATAGTTGAACTACTACAAATTGCGAGCTCGAGGCTTTACAAGCTATATTCAATGTTGCCCAACACTGGTATACACTTATTTTATTACAATGGTAAATGTGTTAAATTATGAAGATCAGATGGTATGCTTATGGAATGAACTTTGTTCTATTGAGGGATGATAGATCCTACCATGATCTCCATGGCGCTCCAGCGGGACGTGCCCCAGTACATGGCCATACCCTGGTTTATAACAAATGTCATCGCACGTACTACCTCTGAAAGAACATACACACAACAGTGCTCGTGATAAGCCATATAGCATACATTATTCATTCATAACACATGTAAAAGCGAAGATAGACCTTCCATGGGGCTGTTGACATCGTTTCGGTTGGCAAAGACAATATCCACGTAATCCAGCTGTAGTCTAGACAGGGAACCTCTGAGACCTGTGGATACATCACCATCACTGTCTCTCCGCTTAATTATTATCGTCATAATCTCGAGGGAGAGGTGGGGTGAGCAGCACTTTACCTTCTATGATGTGTTTCCTAGACAGGCCTCTCTCTGTCTCTGCCCTGAGGATTATAAATGCAGATGTCAAAGAGGAGAAGATATGGAGTCCGAAAATGACTACAGTTTATTCACTGAGTATTAGCATGCCGGAGTACAAGAAGTTAATATTGAATAACTTATATTTCAAACACAATATCTTAACTGTACACTTAAGAATTAATAAATGTAACAAAAGAATGTGAACAATTTTACAGATATTTATATATATATATTAGTGCTGTCAAAACGATTAATCGTAATGAGTATCTATATAATATATTACATATATATATGTGTGTGTATAACATATGCATATACATATACACATATATATATGTATATATATTGTATGTACACACACATTATACAAACACAAACTTTAATTTTAGATGCGATTAATCGTGATTAATCGTTTTGAGAGCACTCGCGTAAAACAATATATATATATATATAAATGTCATTTGTAAATTATTTAGTTTATATGTTCATTTTGACACTATTCTGATTTATTCATGTTAATTTATATGATTGTAGAACTGAATACTCACTGTCCTCCCCAGTAGATCTTAGTCGTTACAACATAACTGGACCGTCTGAAACACATTTTTTGGGGGGAAATGTTGGTTATTATAGTGAGATCAAGCCAAATCCTGTCCTATAATAACAGCCACATTTACTCTGAACTCAACCTGACAAGATATAATGTAAAAACTAGGGCTGTCAAACGATTAATCGCGATTAATCGCATCCAAAATAAAAGTTTGTGTTAACATAATATATGTGCACTGTAAAAATGAATATGCTTTATCTAATCAATAAAATTGTGGCAACAGATTACAAGCAATATTATTAATTAAATTCAACAAATTAGAATTGAGTAATAATTAATACATTGAATTCCTTAAAAGTTAACCATTTAAAAAGAGTAAAGTTTACACCCAAATGGTGTAATGGTGACTTAGATTGGTGTAAGTTGGTGTAAGTTTTACTCATTTTAAGTGGTTAATTTTTAAGGTATTAATTATTACTCAATTCTAATTTGTTCAATTTAATTAATAATATTGCTTGTAATCTGTTGCCACATTTTTTTTTTTTTTGATTAGATAAATCGTATTTGTTTTTATAGTGTGGGTGCACTGTGTATAATTATTTTGTATATATATAAATACACACACATGCATGTATATTTAAGAAATAATTAAAAAAAATATTATTTATATATGAAATATTTATATATAATATAAATTATATATAAATCTATAGTATATACATGAAAATATTTCTTTAATATATACAAGCATGTGTGTGTGTATTTATATATATATATATATAAAATAATTATACATAGCACCCGCATATATTATGTAAACACAAACTTTTATTTTGGATGGTTTGACAGCCCTAGTAAAAATGTTTTCCATGATTAATGTCTTGAGAAGAAGAATATGTAAACTGATTTGCCACAAAATTCATCCAAAATGAGAAGGATGAGAATAAAACGGTCACCTCCAGCCTTTCTTCTTGATGATGTTGCCTAGAGTGATTTCAGCCCTGCAGAAAAAGGACACAAAATCTGAAAACCTATTTTTATTATTATTATTATTTGTAAAAATACAGATGAAACTCGAAAAATTAGAATATGGTGCAAAAGTTCATTTATTTCAGTAATTCAACTTAAAAGGTGAAACTAATATATTATATAGACTCATGACATGCAAAGTGAGATATTTCAAGCCTTTATTTGTTATAATTTTGATGGTTATGGCTCACGAAAACCTTTTCACCATATTCTAATTTTGACTTTGGGGTTTTCAGCTGTAAAATTTTACCGTTAATAGTCTTTTACCATTAAAATCATGTTTTTTGATAAATCTATATTTTGTGTTATTTGTATTGTATCACGTGAATTTGACTAGTGTTATACATGATACGCATGCATTAAGAAAGAAGGGTTGGTGCTAGACAGTCTTTTGACCGTGGAAAAGGCTAGAATTCATGTTTGGTGAAGTGTAAAGTAGTTCTGTGTTTGAGCTCTCTTATCATGTAACAAGACAAAGAATAAGTAAAGCTTTACGAGACAAGTTATGGATTCAACCATTAAATCCTTTGTGCAAATGGCAGAGAACGAAAAATGGCTTAGATTGCCATGACCCTTGTGAAAAGAGTATTGAGTGTGTACTTAAAATCGTATATACATATACATAAAACAAAGTAATTCCTACTTAAGTGGGTCAAAAAACATAAAAATGTAATCTATAATACATACATTACCATGTAATAAAGTGTTGAAAACATTACATTCAGTTCACACTTAAGCATATTCTTAAAGTCCCCCTGGGCTGAAAATCAAGCTTTTAATGTTGTTTATGTTATATAATCTATGTGGTGTTTTTAATATGCTTTAAGACAAACCATGTGTAAATTCATAAGTCGACAGCATTGCTGAGTATTTTCTCCTTAAAACTGCACTGAACCAAAGGCAGTCTCAAAAACACGCTTTGAAATCGCTGGTGTTTCTGACGTCACAAACCTTGTAACCAAGGAAAAAACGATTGAATATGACATTTCGATGATCAAAAATGAGTTTTAAGGGATAAAATTATTGACTAGGGGACTATTTCCGTAATAAGCGCTCTTTTTTTAAGTATGAAAAAGCTTCTAACATGAAATAAAGAGTATGTGTACAGGTAAACCAATGACCTTGTGATGATTAGAGAGGAATGTTCTATCCAGACATTATTTCTTGCTTTATTTGCGGTAACAATATCTGAAATTAAACGGTGCCTTACAGTTTGATTCAATTACAGTTCAATTTGTGAGGCAAATTCACTAGATTCAACCAATAATGTCAGCACATTTCTGAAATGAGCTGATGTGAAAACAGAAGTGAGTATGTGAGCATGTAGGTCACCAGAGCCGTATGCCAGCCAGATGCCCGCCGCACACAGGACTCTAGAAGCGTGAAATGGAAAGACATGCTTCTTCATGTGGAGTGACCCTGCGTTTAAAAGTGACCTGGCTAGCTGGCCAATAGCCATTTATTTTACAACACTGACTATTTCAAAACTATGGAACATAAAAATGTTTAAATCATTAAAAGAGGTGCTTCACAAAAGTGTTTTAAATCGGTGCTACCTGGCTAGAGACAATAGAAAAAGGTGGTTGTCTTCTCTCCCTTTTGCCAAATAGGTAGGAAAACTTCAATACCCATAATGCACAAGGCTTAAAAGCATTATTGGATGTTGCCATCCAAGGCCACTCCCACCATGCTAACTTTTAGTCATAATGGTGTTGACACTGGTGCAAGATTTCAAAGATTAAATGTTTAGCGGGAGGAAGTTTTCCTGTCAATGGGCGGGGATACAAAAAAGTGTGAAAGTATAATCTGTAGTTTTAAGCAATCAAAGGTCATCCGGCGGACTATTGTTGACAAATAAATGTGAACTTCTCTGTCCAGGTAACTCGGAGTACAAGTGAGCACGGTTTATTTACATATACCACTGACATTCTAACGATACTAAGCAGGTTGAAAAACGTCAAAGTTACACTTAAATTTTTCAATTATTAAAATGAGTCATAAAACACACAATGCAGTTGTGTAGCATCTCTGTGGACTTTTTTTTTAAACGGACATCAAGATTTTCGGTTAAAATGTATCATACTTTAGAAGATTTGATTAGAAAAGATTCAACTTTGTCACTCTATAAATGCACACACATACATATACATTTATTAAAGTATTACTGTATTAATTTTTGTTCAAATGCATTTAAGATGCAGATGAAAATGCATTAAAGGTGCCCTATACTGGTTTTTTAAATTATTTTATAAAGTTTCCTGGGTTGCCCTTATAATGTTAGTATGTTTTTTAGATCAAAAATAGTCATAATTTTGAAATAAAAGGCATTTTTCCTAGCCTGATTTTAGCCTCTGCTTTGAACACTCTGTTTGAAGGGGCGTGTCTGCTGTGTGTAACCGGCCTCTGCTGTGATTGGCTGATATCCTTGCATATGAAATAGCTATGTATGACATGTGAAACTCTCTCGAATAATTTTACTACAGCTATTATAGGTTTTTACTATTAAAGCTATCGAGATTAACGAATCGTGAGATGTTTTTGAAGTATTTAGATCTATTCCCATCACATAAAGTGTTGCTGTGATTGAGCAAACAAAGGACAGTGAGTCTGTCGATCGCGAGAATGAAGATCTTATTGCAATACAGTCTCTCTAACGGGAACTGTATATTTGGTCAACATTAGTTTACATTTCACAATTTATAATCAGTCCTACAGTGTATGGATTTTTAAATATTCAATAAATAGCATGTAAAAAAATCTGCATGCATAATAATTATAAAAGAACTAGCAGTTTGAAGATGGTGTGAAGCATGTCACATTACAGGACATGTGGACTTCTCTTCTTCATATAATCTACACATGCTGCTCCAAATGTGTTCGTATAATCCCTCCAATAATCACCAAGATCTACTAACGGCTGTTCAGTTCACAACCTTTATTTCAAACTACGGTTATCACATTACATCAGCAGTGTCCAGTCCTGCTCATGGAGAGCCTCCATCCTGCAGAGTTCACAACACACACTTAACTAGGACTGAAGCTAAACCCTGCTGGCAGGAGGCTCTCTCTCTCTCTTCTCTCTCTCTCTCTCTCTCTCTCTCTCTCTCTCTCTCTCTCTCTCTCTCTCTCTCTCTTTTAGAGAGACTGAGACTGGAAAACCCTGCTCAACAACATTGTCTACAATCCTAAGCTCTCAATTCTGTTTAGTCAGAAAGAGATGTAAAAAGAAACAACCAATCTTGTAAAAAAAAAAAATTATTATTATTATGCAAGTGACTATTCACTAGCACTAGCCTACCTTACTGTTTTTATAAAATTGTTACCACACAATACAATTATTAAAGCAAAAATATATGTGTATCATTGCACCTCTCATGAGGGAAAATCACTAAAATTGTTCCTTCCGCTGGAAAAATAGTCCCTGGCCGTGAACAGAAACAGGAGTTACATACACTATTTGGCCATTAGATGGAGACAAAGACTGTCTTTATGAGTGAGTCTGTCAGTGAAGAAGACTTTTATATTGACAGGACTGAAACTTGTGAACATGGAGAAGCAAGACGCAACGGACCGATGACTAGAGCACGGGAAACTTGATTGGGCAACGGACATTCAAACGGATTTTTTATGACGAATATAGCACAGATCTGAAGCAAAATGCTCTATCTACTGTAAATGCAGGTAGGCTACACTTGCTTACTCGATCTCTCACAATATAGGTTACTCTAATCAATATCAGTGAGAACAAACATGTTTACGTTGCTAGAGGGGTTGTGTAGTGTTACATAGAACCGTTGGGTGAAGCGGTCATATTGCCGTGTTTTATGGTTTTATCCAGAGTGAATAAAACACAGCGATTGACCAATCAGAATCAGGGACTGTAACTAAATGTATTATATAAATAATATGCTTAAGTGCAAACAAATTGTAATGTTTGGACGCATGCTAATTGCAATTAAATGAAAATGAATTATAGTTACGATTTGTATTCCTAGCTGAACTTTAGAGTGCTTCTTTTTTTTTTTTTTTACCTAACTTACTTACAGAAAGTAGCCTACATCTTTACTTATAGTGCCATAATTACTGCTATTATATTTGAAATATGGTTAAAGCGTACAGCTGAATGTACTGACAAGCATTTGTGGTTAACTAAAACTAAAATATACTTTAAAGAGTAACTAAACACTAAACCAACTTTTTTAGTTAATGATCTGTAAGAATGGATCTTTATTAATACCAGTCATTGATTCGAGTAACGTTTTTGACATTTGTGTATAAAGTATTTTCTACAATATGTGGTGTAAAAACGTCTTAGTGCTGCCCTCTTCAGGTTGAACGGTGGCTACTGCAGTTGAATTTTCCTATTGGATGTTCCACACTTCGTGACGTACCCAGGTTTCAGCTCACCACGCGAGCTACGCCCTTGGCAGTATAAAAACCATCTTGTGTCGTCAAAACCACGGTTGGGAGTCAGGAATTGGAATTGTGAGTATTGAAAACGACCAGGATACAGTGTTTTAGCATCTATTTCGTCCCCTCTATCTCCGCTGGGGTCAGCCCACTTTTTCAGCATTTTCAAATATTGCCAGTGGGTGGAGTCAGGCTCTGACCAGGGGTTTAGTTACCCATTCACTTCAACATTTCTTGGAAGTTGCAATTTAAAATATATTAAATGTTAAATTTAATAGCACATAAAGTACATGTGCTTTAAAGCACAAAAAATGAATGATTTAAAATGCACTTTCATGAAAGTGTACTGTATTTAAGTACGTATGCAAGTTGCCCATTGTAGAACAGCAAAGAGAAGTACATGGAATCTCTTCTCCAATATATAGTTGTGAATCGTACCTGCCTGAAGCATAGACTTCTGCTGTGTCGAACAGATTCACTCCGTTCTCATAGGCTATCGTCATCAGACTCTCTGCCATCTACAGAAGAAGACATCCACACGCATAAACTGACAGAGATCTGGCCATTTACATACAGTACATGCTCTTGGTGCAAAAGATGCTTCAGTTACCACAGAAAAATAATTCAAACTCATGCAGATTAAACTCATGGAAACTCCCAACATTACAATGATAGGCTACTTTTATGAGCTTGACTGAACTAATGCTGTACAACTACCATGATAATGTTACATTTGTGGTGTTATCTAGCATAAGGCATTTCACTAACTATTTGTGTATCTTCAGGGCTCGAAATTTGGCGCAGGATTGCGGGTACTGCGCATGATTCTAATCATTCCCGAAGGTCTCCCATTTATAATGCGGGATATTCCTGCAATCGTGATCCACACAGATTATAAAATCAAATCGTTCTTTTAACAACTATCTGCCAGACGCAATTCCACAAACAGCGTGAGTGTTCAGCGTCTTCTATCTCTTCTCTCAAAATGTGTTGTGCAAGGCAAGCAGAGATCACGTGGGTGTTTGAATCGAGATGGCGATCTTTTAACGATTGATCGTGCAGCTCTAGGAGGTGATTGTGTGAGGTAATGTAAAACTATCCTGAACATTACAGTTCACCTCGTCCGAGATCTGAGATCCAAATGTCACCCAGGTGCCTGTGAACAGAGAGAGAGTGAGTCAGAGAGAAGGATGAAGAAGTTGGATATTTTATTTAATTAACATTAGAGCCCGACCGATAAAGGATTTTGAAGGCCGATACCGATACAAATATTTTTGGGTTTTAAAATCCGATATTCCGATATATCGGGCGATATTTTATTTTTATTTTTTTAAATTTTTTTAAACTGGACATGATAGTCAAAAATTTTGTCAAGCTTATTTGAGTTTAGAGAACTGATGGGGATGTTCTTTTAATTGTTATTCCAGCAATGTATGTCTCGTGACCAACTCAACGAGTGTTGCCAACAGGAACGGTGTAGAGTGCCCTCTGGTGGACAAACTATACAACTCCAACACTCATGACATGGTTCAAGCGTGTTTCGTCTGTTTTTATGTTATTTTTGAAATATTCATTTATCGGCCATTATAACTGCCGATACCGATAGTTTGGAAAATGCCTAATATCGGCCGATAATATCGGTCTGCTGATATATCGGTCTGGCTCTAATTAACATTATATTTTTAAAATATACTTTTAAGATTTGAAGTGCACATTCAATACATTTAAGCACAATTCTTTTTCACAAGAGTAAAAGTATTTTTAACATGGAAAAGATTGACACTTCCGCTTAAATGACCGACTGGATACTCACCAAGACCCAAGCAAGAAACACGTAGACCCGACTTTCCAAGGTTTCTGAGAGAAAATATGAGAGAGAAAGAGTATTTAGTTCTCTGTCCTCAGTACTCCAATCCTCATGATTTTTCTTCTACTCATCCATATACCTGAAGGTATATCAAAAATACCGGATATAGTAAAAGTAATGATACGAAAAAGCTATTCGCTGTATGGATTTGTGTCCAATAGGAAATGGACACAATCGCATGGAATATTCTCAAAACTTAAGCTATAACATTCTGGCAAAGTTATGAGCAAACGTTCTTCCAGTAGTGTTGATAGAACGTTAACATTCAAAATGATCTCTTTAATAATGTTATCATTCGTGGAATGACATTTTTTTAATATCGAGAAAACATTCCCATCAAGGTGCAATAAGTGTCCACTCATGATGGGGGAGGGGACAGAGTGAGCCAATCAGCCGTAGGGGCGTGTCCACACATGATTGGGGAGAAAGAGTGAGCCAATCAGCAGTAGGGGCGTGTCCACACATGATACTCACAACCGGCACATCCGGGAATTTAACTGTCAATTTTGTCCCCGCCCCCTTTTAAGGGGAAAACAAACTAGACTCCCCATAGACTTCAATACAAAACCAACGTCCGTACACAGCCGACAGGCATAAATAACTAAATCACTAATATAAAACATGTCAAGTAATTATATGTAAATTATATATACCCTGCCTGCCATAGAGCCTGAAAGATACATACACAAACTTAATTTGGCCAATTTAAAAACATGTCCCTTTATTTTCCCAGCATCAAATTGGGGTAACTAACAACCCCACCCAGTGGCCAGAGGTGTCTTACCCGGACATTACTTGTACCTCATCGAGTCACCAGGTAAGCCAGTGAATGATTTTATTTGGTTTTTTAAAGTAAAAAAACCTTAATGTATACATTATGAATTTATGATGATGATGGCAGGTGGCCTGGGCTAGTTGATAACGGGCATAAAAAATGTATCTTTCACGCTCTATGGCAGGCAGGGTGGACGTATAATTACTTGACATGTTTTATATAAGTCATTTCTTAAGTTATTTACGCCTGTCGGCTGTGTACGTTGGTTTTTGCCGTTATTTTTTTATTGAAGTCTATGGGGAGTCTAGTTTGTTTCCCCCAAAAGGGGGCGGGGACAAAATTGACAGTGAAGTTCCCGGATGTGGCGGTTGTGTGTATGGGGCAGAAAGAGTGAGCCAATCAGCAGTAGGGGCATGTCCATACATGATGGGGGAGGAGAAAGAGTGAGCCAATCAGCAGTGGGGGCATGTCCACACATGATGGGGGAGGAGAAAGAGTGAGCCAATCAGCAGTAGGGGGCGTGTCCACTCAGGATGAAGGGAGGAGACAGAGTGAGCCAATCAACAGTAGGGGGCGTGTCCACACATGACTGGGGAGGAGAAAGAGTGAGCCAATCAGCAGTAGGGGGCGTGTCCACTCAGGATGAAGGGAGGAGACAGAGTGAGCCAATCAACAGTAGGGGGCGTGTCCACACATGACTGGGGAGGAGAAAGAGTGAGCCAATCAGCAGTAGGGGGCGTGTCCACTCAGGATGAAGGGAGGAGACAGAGTGAGCCAATCAACAGTAGGGGGCGTGTCCACACATGACTGGGGAGGAGAAAGAGTGAGCCAATCAGCAGTAGGGGGCGTGTCCACTCATGATGGGGGAGGAGAAAGAGTGAGCCAATCAGCAGTAGGGGGCGTGTCCATTCATGATGAAGGGAGGAGACAGAGTGAGCCAATCAACAGTAGGGGGCATGTCCACAAATGACTGGGGAGGAGAAAGAGTGAGCCAATCAGCAGTAGGGGGCGTGTCCACACATGGATGTTTGAAAATTCCGAGAATATTCATGTGTTCATAACTTAATGAGAATGTTAGCAAAACATATATAACACAAATCATTTTATAGCAGTAAATATGGGGTAAAAATGCAATTACTATGTTCAGACGAGTGGATGTCTGTGCAGTTGTATTATTAACTAAATTAGTTTACAAAACCTTTAATTTACACGTTATAAAAATAACTTTTCATAAAAAATATCAAAAAATGTAATTTGGAAATCTGAACAATTTGTTACTTGCAGGCAGCCCAATATACATTTATATAGATATCAACTTCTCATCTTAACATCAGATTGCATATATTGGCAAATGGATATGGAGCTGTGTTCAAAACCATTGTAAATAAAAAAGATGGGTCGTTTTGAAATGTAGAGTAGCACCCGTGGCCGCTTTAATTACAGATGGATGAACACCAGTTGAAGATGGGCGATGTGTCACCCGTGCCTGCTTCTCATCCGAGCTGCTGCTCACTTACGTGTCCAATGGAGAGATAGAAAGAGACAGATTGTCAGTGTGTTTAGATCCAGGCGGCTGAACCACGCTTTCTCTTCTCTGAATCTATTTTTGTTTGCCCGGCTAGTCTATTTATAGAAATGATGCAATTGTGCATTTGTTTGTGTCCAGTGTGTGTGTGTGTGTGTGTGTGTGGAATGGACTATTATATTGATAGTTACATATTACCAGCCAAGACTGTGAGAAATCACTAAATTAATAGCCTGAATCATTAATTTGATCTAAAAAAGTAGCGAGAAAAGGCACATCTATTCATCACACGAGAGGAACGGGTGAGAGAGAAAACTGCAAAGCTCTTTCTCGCTGACACAAATATTTTCACTTTCTCTGTCATCCTTCATTTTTATCTTTCTCCATCCTTTCCTCTTTTCCACAGCGCTGCATTAGACTGCTGAATCACACACACACACACACACACACACACACATAGTTATGCATGTATGACGAGAAGCCGCAGGGAAGAAAATGTGAAGCTCATGCGCTGAATATTCAGTCGATGCTGGATGTTTACATCTAAATGTGCACAGACACATTGGGTTTCCATGTTTTATGGGGACTCTCCATAGACGTAATGGTTTTTATACTGTACACTGTCTATTCTCTCCCCTTACACTAACCCGAAACCTACCCATCACACAACACTTTCTGCATTTTTACAGTCTCAGAAAATATCATTTAGTATTACTATTATTTATAAGCTGTTTTCTTCATGAGGACCAAACAATTTCCCCACAAGGATAAGGATTTCAGATATTGTCATTTTTGTGGGATTTTGTCCCTATAAGGGTTTACCAGCCCCCCACCCCCCACAGACACACACTTGTATTTCTATCATGGTGAGGACTTTCCATAAAATTAATCCACAAGTTTCCTACGCCCCATGAGGCCTTGCGTCAAAAGTGGGCGCGACTTCCGGTTAGAAGTAAACAAAGCACGATTTGACATGCTTGACACTCATTCATTCAACAGTTGACAGTCAATCAAGTTATAGCGATCCAAACTAGCTAACGATGTGGGAACACAACCTCAACGGAATTAAAAAGGGTGAAATAACAGTACCTTTACCCTCCGCAGTCGTTGGTTGGGAGTATTATAACATTATTCATAATCAATACTCATCAAGGCATGGTGACAGAAAGTTGTGCGAGCTGACAAACAATTAAAATAAAAAATACACACTTAGTCATTGTGCTTTGGAGTTTATTCAAAATTATAAATGAATGTGCTACTTGAAAACATTAACTGGCACATTTGGTATTCTGTGAACACAGGCTTTGATCCTGAGTTTAGGTGTAACATCAGTAGAGAACAGCCAATCACATGCTGATAGAGTTTATAGAATATTAAGAATTTAAACAAATGTACACAGGAAGATTCGTCGTCTTTTGGGAGGTGATGGAAACTACAATCGTTGGCAGGATCACTCTGATTTCGTTTTCAGCTTATGTTCAAAACAATCCCGTTTAAGCCACTGAACTAGTTTAGTCCGGTTATACATACAACCGCGAACAGCACATGTTGTCCCTGAGCTCCGTAACGACATCTCTCATAAAGATTGGCGTCTTTAAATAGTAAAATAATTCTCCGAAAAACAGCTAGCCTCTTCGCTAACTAACACACAAAATACCATTGGAATGCTACTTCCGCCGCGTCACCGGAAGTTTCACCCACTTTATTTTTTACATGAGCGCCCCTCGGAAACTTGTGGATATCCTTAGAGGCACTCCTCACAAAAACCTTTTTGCAATAGTATTAGTTTATAGTATTATTAGAATCCAAAGCTGCAAAAGCTCTAGTCCATTGTTATTTTAGTATCATTCAGATTCTGTTTTAGTTAATATTCATATTTTGGGTTAGTTATAATGGTTTTGAAGCATCGAAAATACATTTTGGTCCAAAAATAACAAAAACTGCGACCGGTTCTGTTGTGGATCCGCGTTCTGACGTGTGTCTGGTGCGTCCGTGTATTCGGGTTCGAATAAATATGGCTGGACAAATAAATGCAAGTCTTCCTCTGTGTGGAAATCCTTAGACATGTTTGTGAAGATTGTTTTGTACACCGCCCGTCTCCCTCAGACTGTAACCGAAGCTCAGCCGCACCAGACACACGTCAGCCGTGTCACTGAACGCGGATCCACAACAGAACCGGAACACTGTAAAAAAATATTGTAAGTAAGTAACCTGGTTCCCTTAAAATTTTAAGTTCATTGAACTGGAAAAAGTGAGTTAATACAATGAAGGAGATTAATTTAACCATCAGAAACTCAAAATGATATGTTATCTGAACTAAATAAATGATCTAAGTTGATTTGACAAAAGAAAAAATGTTGTGATAACTACACTGTAAAAAAATATTGTTGGTTTAACTTAAAAAAGTAAGTAACCTGGGTTGCCTTAAAATTGATTGAACTGGAAAAAGTGAGTTAATACAATGAAGTAGATTAATTTAACCATCAGAAACTCAAAATAATAAGTTATCTCAACTAAATAAATGATTATAAAAAATTGATATTAATATTTTCTTAAAATCTTGAAAATATTTTTTACAGTGAAGACAATACAATGCTGAATAAAGTCGTAGTTTTTGTTATTTTTGGACCAAAATGTATTTTCGATGCTTCAAAACATTGTAACTAACCCACTGATGTCACATGGACTACTTTGATGATGTCTTTATTAACTTTCTGGACAAGGACAGTATACCGTACACACATTTTCAATGGAAAGAGAGAAAACTCTCGGACTAAAGATGAACGGAGGTCTTAGGGGCTTGGGACGACATCAGGGAGAGACATTAATGACATCATTTTCATTTTTGGGTGAACTAACCCTTTAAGCCCTGAGTTTTCCTTTGCTCCTTGTCCAGTGTTAACGTTTAGTTGGAAGCGTAGTGTGCTCTTGCATTTTCTGTTCAATAAGATATTGCCAACCGTGACAATTTTATTTAGAGCAACAAAAACACTGTTAAATGGTTTTTATGGTATAGTTTTAGTTAACTATAATAGCTCTGCTGTATGCCTGAGGCTTTCAAGCTTCAAAAAGAACACAAAAGCACCGCTTGTATTATTAATAATCTATGTTTACACTGTGTTACACATTTTCTGAAGCCATGATAGCGCAATACATGTGTGAAACTTAACTTCGAGTGGGTTGATAAATGTGGATCAACTGACTGGAAGAGCTCAGGACAGAATGGCATAAATGGAGAACGCCCATTCATTGTAAAGATATGGAAAAGAGTGACTATACACTATACCGTTCAAAAGTATTAAAAAAAAAAAGACTTTTATTCAGCAAAAGGTGCATTTAATTGAATTGAATGACATTTATGTCACGAAAGATTTCTCTTTCAAATAAATGCTGTTCTTTTTAAAATCCTATTTAGCAAAGAGTCCTGAATAAAATGCACCAATTTCCACAAAAAATATGTAGCAGCACAACTTCAAACTGATGATAATAATCATAAATGTTTCTTGATCAGCAAATCAATACATTAGAGTGAGTTCAGAAGGATCATGTGGCGTGAAGACTGGAGTAATGATGCTGAAAATTCAGCTTTAATCAAAGCAAAAAAATACATTTTAACATATATTTACAATTATCAAACAGTTATTTCCAATCCTTGATTCTGATTGGTCAATAGAGGGAATGCATAAGTGAATAAGTCACGTCTGAAGGGGTTACTCCGCTTCGCGTCAAGCCAAACAACGCCAAAGTCTCTCGTGCCTTTTTGCGTACAGAAAACAATTTACAGTACTTTATAATTGTAATAATATTTCACAATATTACTGATTTTACAGTATTTCTGATCATATAAGAGACTTCTTTCAAAAAAATCTTACCAACCCCAAACCTCTGAAAGGTACACTCTAAACAATGCTGGGTTGTTTTAACCCAAAATTGGGTAAAATATAGACAAACCCAGATATTGGGTTAAAAATGTCATTTTAAAATTTTAACCCACCTTCAACATTCACTTTCAACTGTACATTTTTACATTACAACATTTGGGTTTGTCCATATTTGACCCAAATTTGGGTTGAAATAACCCAGCATTGTTTAGAGTGTAGTGTTTTAATGAACACATTTTAATTTCTGGGCGAATTAATCGTTTACGTGGTTTTCATTTTAGACACCAGCCAACAGGAGGTCATTTTATGTTTTACTACAAATATCGGCAAAACACGCATCCCCCACACACACATGATTCACATTCATACACGACTCTTGCAAGACATGTGACAGACTCATACTCTGCATCATGCAGCAAATAGGTTTATATTAAACCACTTTCTGATCGCTTCTGACTAGCATTTGGAAAGACAAATGACTTGTCGGCTGGTCATCATCAGTGAAGGCTTTACGTTGTCTTTATTTGTTAGGTAAAGACATTTGCTCAAGACTTTTAGAAGTCAGAAACCTTCTGTGGTGCTTTCTTTTCTCACTCTCTTATGAACACAAGCTTTTTGTGTGAAAGAAAGAGGTTAATGATGCTGAGATTTTGGCTGATTCTCGTTTTCCTACCACAAGACTCACTATAAATCATCCTGTTCACACACAAACACATGCCTCCGCAACAACATGCTGTTCTATTTACTGGTGTGTTAACATCACCATGGTGTATGCGTAGACATTTACAGTTGTAGTTTGTGAAGTCAGCACTGTAAGGATTCATGTTACTGTGTGCTTTTGCACCCTTATGTAACCTATTTAATTAGTGGGGATTTCTAACACCCTAAAAAAACCAGTTCTGATTCACACTTTTTAGCAAGTAAAAGGCCTTTTAATATAATTGTAAAAATGGCAGACTTCAGGTCGTGGTTCACGTGTCTTTTTGTTGTGAAACTTTACTGATTTCTATAAAGTAAACGCAGTAACGTTTATATTTTTAGTAATATTACAAGATGAACACTTACTGGACTGAAGCCACTTTAACCTGATTATCAATAAAACATTTAAAAAATAATAATTATAATTAGGGCTGTCAAACGATTAATCGTGATTAATCGCGATTAATCGCATCCAAAATTAAAATTTGTGTTTACATAATATATGTGGGTGCACTGTGTATAATTATTTTATAAATAAATACACAGACACTTGCATATTAAGAAATATTTTCATGTATATAGATTTATATATAATTAATATTATATATAAATATAAATATTTTATATATAAATAATTTTTT